CCTTCAGTGCTGCAGCAGCCTTTGAACTCAGAGTCAGAAAGACAGCCATGAGTGGGTTTGTTGACCTTTTCATTTAAATACAAAAAATATCTTTGTTGATTATTGACCTAATGGGAAATTAAATAAGACTTTTGAATGTATCTGTAACTAAGTACACTGGTGATAGACCATATTCACATCTGTAATCAATAGCAGTACCATGCTTGTACAGGATAGTGTCACTGTGAACACAGAGGCAGTAAATATTTGTCTTGTTTACCACAAATGACTTACATGTTTTTGTCCATGGAAACAGCTCCCAGAGCTTTGAAGCTGCACTTCTTTGGGAGTGATGAAGTGATGATGGGTAGATTCAATTATTGTCCCTGTCATTTAATTTTACATTCAAATGCATATGACAGGTTTATTATCATATATATTACTTAGTTTGGCTGGAGGATAAATATTTAACATATTTTACACCAGTGCAGCCCAGTACATGAATAAAATCAGTTAAAAGTAAGGTTGAAAAATACAAGAAGTAACACTCAGTTCTAAAACATTAACATAATAAAAATAATAATAAAGGTAATGTCATATATTTATTAATTAATAACTATTGGGTAAATTAGGCTAGCTTTGCCTGTGTACCTTACAGTTATGAAATTCCCTCTTTTTTCACATCTGCTGTACCAGTAATGAGGTTCACCAAAACTGGACCAAACAATGGAAAACTGATCTAATCTGTCACACAGTGGTAGAAGAAGTAAAAGAAGTAGTCCAGTGGTTTTGTGTCCTTATTGCTTTCTGGGGAGACTTATCTATACTTTGTTAAATTGACTGATCGGACTCTAATCTGTGAAGTGACTTAATGACATTAAGTGGATATATTTTGCCTTTGGGGACAAAATCATCTGTTTTAACTATCTCAAGTGGACAGGTCCTGCACGGTTTGTACTTGTTTCCAAACACTGAGCCAAAAGGACGTCTTGAGATTATTATTGACGATGGGTTTTGGAGCGTCACAGTGGTGCTCGGGCCAATAGCCAATCTGGTTACAGATATGAAGCCTCTGCCCTACTCCAGTGGATTTCATTTCAGTTGCATTCCTTGGTTCTGTTTTTCTAGTCTTTTTTCCTACTTTTTCTTCACCTCACACAGCAGCCAAAGTGAGATGACATCATGGTGAATATAAGAAAGGCTCCGAGGGAAGACCAGGGACCAATGGAGGGACAGGTACATGAGACAAGATTTGCACAGATGTGGCTTTTATTGCGCGCATAGGGAAAAGAAAGTGGAAAAATGTCCTCATGTGTCCAGAGCTGCTGGCCAGCGACAACAGACACATGGATCCGGAGAGTTCTGATGAAAGGAAAAGAATGAAAGTGTCATAAATATTTTTGGATGAAGTGGAACAGAAGAATTTTTAGAGAGGAAAAGTGTCATTCTTTGTGGTCTAAGAGTCCCTTGCAGTACATATCACAGACTCAAATCACTGCTTTGAATGCCACAGAGGCTTGTCATATACACAACATGGTTTTTGCTGAAGAAGTAGTGTGAGTGCCCTGGACCACCATGTTGGCATCATAAATATCAACATTTTGATTATTTTCATTCAGAGCTGTAGGGAGCTATGAGGTCAGGCGCAACTACTCCACATGAGATTATTATTGTTACAGGACCTCTTGGACATGCTGTTTATGCTTAATCTAGATGACTGGATTTTATCACCAGAACTTGGACACCTATTTGTATTGACATGGGAAGACACAGACAGCCAACTAATCACAATATGTAGATATGTAGTGGCAGTAGTACTAAACACTTACGCAACATGCATAAGACAAACACTGCTTTTCAACAATCAAGCCTTAAATTCTTTTTTTGTTGAATTTGTCACATATTTTAGTTTCTTCTGCCGATGAGAAGAGCAGTTGACTTATGGTGTAAAGTGACACAATAAGATGTCACTAACTAATATAGACTTCTCTAATGAAAACCAAACAAACCAACTGACTGCTGTTAACCTTCTGGCCTTTAAATTTTCCCTTTCCCTCACTATTTTCCTGGCAGCTCAAGTGACGCGACAAGCTAATAATACGTTTCCCTCAATATTAATGAGCTCAACAGCCACGTTGCCTGACAAGGGGAGAAGCTGGGACCTGTGGCTCAGTGCTGTTTTCTTAAATGAATCATGGTGGAAAATGTGTGAGTGGGAGCAAGGGTCTACACCAACTCGTCAGTGACAAGAGGGGTCAGCTCAAAGGCCACTGACCCCAAGAGCCAAGAGTCAAATGCACAGACCAGAGCCAGACGCAAAAATGTCCCTGCATGGCTGAGCTGGTTAAGACTGGTGAGGCTATTTTCTATGCCAGTGTTTCTACTGTGTATAAACACTACAGAGATTTGCGTGATTAATTTATTTAAAACTTTACTCCATAATTTGTTTACTTGAAAGGGTTAATGTTGTTTCTGCATCAAAACCATTCCTGTGGTTGTGTTTTGCTTCATTCACACATATTTAACACACTAACCCTGCATATTTAGACTGTGTTCTTCTCTCAGACAGAAAACACCTTGTGATGTCATGCGGTAATATAGTGCTCCACTGTGTTTATAAACGCCACACACCTTCAGTAGAATCATTTGGATGATTTCAGCACAGGAATGGCCAATCTTTACTGAATTAAAGGTAAAAGGTTGCAGTTACTGTAACTTCATGATATCACAAGGTGGAACAGAGCATTTTGAGCTTGAGAGATGTAGACAGACAATTAATAAAGGGCTACTCACACATGAATGAAACTAAACACAACTCCTGGTGTTTTTTGAGGAGATAACAACATTCTAACATGGCTAAGAGGCCATTTATTGCGAATATAGAACAATAATACTAATAACACACTAATAACATAGGCTTATCAATGAACTTATCAATACTGAAGAAGATGTGAAGTGCCAGTAGTCTCAAAAGCCACCACAAAACATTCATCCATGCACTCATGACATACATTTCACATACAAAGGAGAGGAGGGGTTTAAATGGTCATACTTCTGTTTGTTAGAGGGCAGTTTAAAGACACAAACACAGTAATGGACAGTTCTTAGATACTCAACAGAAATCTCTCTATTTATCTAGGCATGGAATAATGCTGACATCCACAGCTGGTGTACTTTCTGGCCAGCTGTACATTCACATCCCTGGGGGAGTTAATGTAAGGAAAATAACCTGATTTTATTAAGGTATGAGAACAATTTGAGACACATAGCTCTTGGTCCTTCCTATGGCAGGGAAAAATCTGACCTCCAAAGCTGCAAACAGAGGAGGCAGTGTCTCAGCGTCACGGAGCTGAGTGTAGGAATGTTCTTTCATCTGATGTTACCTTTATACAGTCTGCCCTTCTTCAAATTAGTCCAGTGATCAAGAAGAAAACATGTCTATACTATTGAAAGCTTCCCAAGAGCATGCTGGGAATTTGTTTCCAGGATTCATTCCCTTGTGGCTATAAATAAGCACGTTCCATAAATCCTACAGTAATTGAATTTAGTGTGTCAGATTGTACAAGTGGCTTTGGAAGAATGTAAGATCTACAATGCACAGGTGGCTATTACCCAAAAAGGCCTGATTTTCCTACGAGCTGTCAAAGGTTTTATTGGTGCCTCTGGAGGCTAAACCCCAAGTGAACCCTAAAACACATGTCCTACCACAAAGTGTCAATCTAATGAGCAGCACAGACTTGTCCAAAAGCAGAGACCTACATCTTCTAACTTGTCTAACTTGTGAATCAAAGCTGCATCTCGACAAATTGTCGAATATGTGTCAGTTTGGGTGGTTGGACTGTGGTTTGACACAAATATTAAGATACTAGTACCTATAATCAAATACAATTTTTAGTACAAATAAACTGTGTCAAAGGGTAGCAACCTCATATTAATAACACTTGAAGAATGCTTAAACATTGTGCTATTTGAATTAAATCAATTAAATTAAATCAATTAAATATCCTTTATCATATAAGATATAGAGGCCTAACCAAAGTCACTGTTCTATGTCAATAAATTTCAATTGTGACGTGGCCCTGGGATCATAAAAGCAAAGACGGAATGAGAAGAAGAGAATACAGTTGAACCTTGTACAGACGTTTAGATACTTCTACCACACACAGACACAAACGCGCACACATGCACACGGACACACACACAACAAACAGCGCCCACCTTTGTATTTGACCTCCACAATGGCTCTCCATGTATTTCAGTGGGAATATACTTTACACTTAATCTGTCAGCGGTACCTCCCTTAGCGCAGAGGCACCAGCTGCAATTTTTATTGCATCCAGAGAAGCATTTAGGAGAGAGCCACAGGTCGAGTGTAGGTGCCCATGGGCCCAGGGACAGCGGGGGCATTGTGGAATGTATCCTTGTTGGGAGATTCCACAGCATTCCTGAACATAAACTAAAGTGACTAAGAGCTCTGTTTCATCACCGCTAAAAAACACTGCTTAGAAAATTACACATTGTCATAAAAGCCATGAATGCAGCACAGAGCGCTTATGGAGAAGTGCTAATGCCTACATGTCTCAGCAGCCTCTCAACCTGGCAGCTGCAGACACTGTTCTTGGCATGAGTGATAATGCATGTGAAATTAACAAGATGACACTTGCTTTGGTCTAACCCCAAATGTTTCAGATGTGTGGTGTGAAATGTGAACAGTTCTACAGCTGTAAATTTAAATGAGAGGGTGATCACAACAAAACATCACCTTAGGTTATGTTTTTGCATTATTTTATAACCTTGTTAAAGTAAAAACAAAAAAAACATTTCCAGAGCAAAGCATATTGAACACACACAGCTGAGTCAGCAATTAAATATCCTTGAACTTATATCAAATGCTGTTTTGATCATTTTTATCGTCATAAAAATATTTTATGTAGTTATGAAGAACGGTGTTGCCAAAAGTAACACAGCTGATGTTGGCATCATTTTTGACAGATTTTCCAACTTAAAAATATAGCCTACATTTGTCTCCACAAAGGTCTTATCTTAACAAACCTACATCATACTGCCTACTGAGTAGTGTCAAAATTAAGAATTTAACTCCTCTATAAAATTTTTACATAGTGCCAAATTACAACTACACCGGAGAGGCGACCCACTAACAGTAAGAATGTACATTTTATTGGGTGTTTTTAAACAATACAAACAAGTGTAACTGTATAAATGCACAACAGAAACATTAATTATCATATCATGGAACATTAAGAGCAATTCCAGGCCTAAATTGCCCAAATGATTCTAGTGACGGTGTATAAAGTTTAAAGACACAATGGTGCACATCTTGTATTACCACATGACTTCACAAGGTGGATTGAGTGTTTGAGAGAAGAACACAGCCTGAATATTCAGGGTTTGTGTGTTAAAATGTATGAATGAAACGAAACGCAACTCCAGGTAAGTTTTTGATGGAGGAACATTATCACAGATCAAAATAGCGTAATATAGGCCCCTTAATGGACAAAGCGTGTTCATTTTCATGTGGCCCTTATTTATTGGGCTATTTATAGATTTAACACAGTCTAGGGTCACGGCCAGAGGGTAGCACAGTAGTTTTTTTTTTATAACTGACCTTTTACACTGACGTCCTTCACCTCCAAAGCCACAGTGCAGCGCGAGTCTGTGGTTGTAGGTCAGTCCCGCTTTGGCGCACAGAGCACGTGGGGGCGGGGCGCTGCGAGAGGCAGGACTACGCGCCGCACTCGAGCAAATAGCTACTGCTTTTGAAACGACTGGCTTTTATTTGTTTCTTTGTCTGTGGTCTGGTCACTGTCGAATATCAGAATTTTGAACACTTACTTTGTTTAATGTGTTAAAAGCGTATGACGGAGGCTCCGGTCTCCTGTTGCGCGTAAGAGGATCATAGAGGAGAGCGCAACCTGTCACCGTGAGGATGAGAGAACCTGGGACTGTGATACAGTGGAATAAGTTTGGAGAGTGACTGCGATGTGAACACGGCTAATTCACCGACTTCAGGAGGTAAACGTCTATCCACGTAATGCATATTCTGTCTTTCAAAACATCTTTATATAGGTCTAAATGGGAGTCTGTCAACAGTTTTATTTGGCCTATAGAATTAGTTTTTGTTTTTGTTTTTTTCTAGAGATGAGCTTTTGTTTGCACAGACTGAGTATTTTGAGAACCTTTTAAAGACCCGTGCTTGCCTTGCTGGAGAGTTTTACATAGTTACTGGACGTTCTTGACATAGCTTTCCTTTTGACACCACGGAAAGAAAAATAAATTTCCTTTCACCAACATCCTTCTACTCAAAATGAATTAAAGAGCGTCCCTTCACCACCCGGAGCATGCCACTGTGTTGTCATTCTTTTCTGTATAACTGTTTCTGTATAACTGTTTCTGTAACCCATGTGGCTTTCAAATGTGAGCCCAGAACAGAGATGTGGCTTCTTAAAGTTGCACTACGCTATGTAACACGTGAGTCTACCTGATTTGCATTTTGCTTTGCTTGAAATGTTTGAAAAGTATGGCATTAATCATATCCATCTTGCATTTATTCAGTTATTATTATTGTTATTATTATTATTAGTTATTCAAATCTCTTGAAAAACATGGATTTTTACTGTTAGCAGGGTCTTCTTTCCACAGATCTGACTTGTACTTGGTCTGTTTGCACAACCAATTTGTCTCTGTGTAGATTCATGAACTACATTTAATGTTATACTGCGGGGCATTACAGGTATATCAGTAATATCTTTGACAGGACAAGTAGGTAGTAAGCAGAAAAGAAGTTTTGTATAATTATTATTAATGTTAATGTTAATGTTATGATCTTAATCCCGCTTCGGTCACTAGTCCACCTGAGATGTCACTAAGAGATTTGTATTGGTGTCAGAGCTTTTCTTCTCACTGTATTCACAAGTGGGATAAAGACTTTGAAAGCTTACAGCACATGGGGTTGTCCCAAGGTCTTTGGATGAACCCCACCCTGGCTTTTGTCAGACATAAAGCCTTGTTTAGGTTTCTGTGTCTGGACTTGTTGCTTTTCACTTTTTACACACCTGCTCGGTTCGTGCCATGAGTGCCTTGGGCTCCATAGTCTTCAGTGGGGATCAAGTATCTCCTCCCTGTTAATGTGGCCTAAAAGCTCAGAAGAAGTTAATGTTTGATGGGCCTCACTGTTGTAACACATACCTGACTGGAGCACACCTATAGTAAACTCGCCTTCTCATTGTCATTGTACGGAGCTGATAAAGAAACCTAGACTTTACAGCAAATCATCAAAAACGGCCCAAAATCCAATGAGAAAGTTTAATACATTTAAAGGATGAGATGATCTTCTGTAGAAATCGCTGGTAATGGGTAATAATACTAAAACTAGTTATTATATATAAATTTAATTAAATTATATAAACACTTCATTTGAACAAATATTGATACTGAAAAACTATATATAGGCCTATATTTATATATGTATTATAAGTTGGACTTTGTCTGAATGTATATCAGAATTGTTTTTAGACCACAAAGTAAATAAGTATATTCTAAATAAGTATATATTGAAAAGTATATTCTGATGTCAAATGGAGCTTTGGCAAGTCTTTTTCATTGTTAAGACTGCTAAAAATTGTTAAAATTGCTATACATACGTACATACGTACATACATACATACATGCTGCAATCATGAAATGTGTAAATACACCATTTTAATGCTTTGCTTGTCTTGAACACATGTGATTTGTTAATTACATATTTAAAACAAATATGTATTAAGTATGAAGTTACAGTTAAAAATGCAGTCTTTTGGGTCTATAGCAATCCCATTTTGCTCATAATACATTTGTGTTTTGAAGAACAAGGGGTCCATTGTTGCCCAGCGTCACCAGATGAGACTCAAGCCTCCATTGCAACATTTAAGTTTGAAAGCTGACCTCACTTGTATTGACTGAGATTTACAGCCACCATGAAAGAGGCCAGAGTCATGTTTGTGAGTTTGTCCGACAGCTTGTGGAAATGTTTTCTCACTTTTTAATGACAATTATGACTTTATACACAGACTGTGTATAGTATAGTCTTAGGTTAGGGCTGTAGCCTGTTAGTCGATTAACCGGTTGATGGTGTCTTAGTTGATTACAGTTTCCATATGTCAACAATATCCTATTGGTATTATGACAATTTATATGGACCACAGCAGAAAGGAGAAGGAATGAGGAGTAAATTAGCTGGAATTTTGGGAGTAACTGGACAGTTTAATCTGCCTTTTCATTTCTGCGTCTTGTGTGCATAGTACTTTTTGGTGAGATCCAAATGTTTTGAGAGCTTTTGTTTGTGTCACGTCACGCTTCCTTTGGTCGATTAATTTATGCATAGTGCATAGCTTTAGTCTACCAAGAATTTCTCTAGTTAACTACAGCCCTACTGAAATTTTTATTCTTATAATCCCAAATAACTATATTGGTTTTATTTATCTATTAGCTTTTAGTGCATTTTATCAGTGGTATAAACAATAGAAGAAAACATTTCTTGAAGTCTAGACTCTGGTAGCTGTTTTTTAATTATTATGTTTTCATTTAAATTTACCCTGGGATTGATGGGATTTGTGAGCATACTTAAGTATATGTGTATTTCTTTCTATGTTGTAATAGTCCCATGAATTAATACATTGTTGAGCCAAGATGGGCATGGGGTGGAAAAATCTTGTGCCAAAATAAAAAAAAAATAAAAAATGGTTACATTATTTCATCCAGTGAATGTGGGCAAAAGAAATCAAAGGCAAAAGAGTCTAAACTGCAGATTAAAAAAACTCTTGCATCTTAAACTTTCTAAACTATTCCCTGTTTCTTGTCCTCTAGTGTGTCCATCACCACAATGCCTCCACATGATCACTCCCTGCCAACGCTGCTCTACCTCCTGCAGTTCTTCCTGTTACGGGCCCTCTCAATCCTCCAGCCACCCCCCCACATCCCCACCCTGGTGCCCCACACCCCCACCCCTCTCACCCGCTCCCATTTCAGCGCCCAAACCCAGTTGGACTTCACCACCCACTGCAACTCCAGCTGCTTCCACACCCACGAGGGGGCACTGTCCGATAAACTGGCCTTCGAGACACTGTACTCAGATGGATCACGCACCCTCACCACAGTGGATGTTGAGGATGACAGTGAAGACTTAACCTCATCCATGAACTGGCCTAGGCGCAAGCGAATAAAAAGGCAAATCTATGGTGCAGATGGACGATTTAACATCAAAGGTGATAACTTCCTTTTGGATTACCCTTTCTCCACAGCGGTGCGGATCTCCACGGGTTGCACTGGAGTTCTTGTGTCCCAGCTGCATGTCCTGACAGCGGCACATTGCGTCCATGATGGTAAAGATTATGTCAAGGGAGCGAGGAAGCTCAAAGTTGGATTTCTGATTAATCCTGTGGTAAACAGCACAAACCCAGAACTGTCATCACCCAAGAAGCCTCTGGTCCGCTGGGTGAGGGTCAAACGGACTCGTGTGCCCAAAGGCTGGATCCAAGGCCCTCAGGAGGTCAGCATGGACTTTGACTATGCCCTGTTGGAGCTACGTTGGCCCCACCGCCGCCCTTTTATGCGACTATCTGTGGCTCCCTCCTCTGACGACCTGGCTGGGAAACGTATCCACTTTTCTGGTTTTGACAGCGACCGGCCAGGGGAGCTGGTGTACAGATTTTGTCCAGTGGAAGAGGAGTCCAAAGACCTCATATACCAGCACTGTGATGCCAGGCCCGGAGCAAGTGGATCCGGGGTCTACGGCAGAGTGTGGGATGACACGCTGGAGAGGTGGGAGAGGAAGGTGATTGGGATCTTTTCAGGTCATCAATGGTTAGAGATAGATGGAGAAAACCGGGATTATAACGTGGCTGTAAGAATTACACCGCTCAAGTTTGCACAGATCTGTTACTGGGTGCATGGGAACAGACTAGACTGTGTTCATGGTTGAGAGCCTTGCTTTTTATTAGACACAAGGAGATGATACAAAACATCAGTCAAGTTTCAGCCTATACTCAAGACTGACGATCCTTCATTTACTCTTCACACTGCACACTTTCAGAACACTATGTTTTATTGAGGAAATGCTGTTTTTTTTACCAGAACAAGGAATGTGATTTATTACAGTGAATGCTGTTTGACTCTAAACTAGAAAAAGGAAATAAATATTGGAGCTTGCTTGTCAGCAATATAAACATCAAGAATTATGGTTTAATTTTTGTGCAATCATGAATGAATTGGGCTCAAAGTAAACCATTCCAACCCAATGGAGAGACATATTATTTGCAAGTCTAGTTGCACTTTTCCAGCATCATGGCATTACCCCAGCCTCTGCTCAAATCACATTTTACAACACACAATTACTTTGAAACTGTGATATAAATCCTTTCTCAGTAATTCAGCATGCTTTGCGTCCTGTACAGGGTTTTATAATTTTTTCATGGATGTCTCAACTATATGCCATATCTTTTTTGTTATCACAGAGAAAAACATTATTATGATGCTGTAAGTACTTTTCAGAGATTATGTTATTAAATATAAGGGTAAATTTATTTTTGTGATAAATTCTATATATATTTTAATAAAGAGATTTTAGCGTATTCATGAATGAGTACTTTCTTGGGAGGAAATTTGCTGCCATCTTGTGGCGACAAGAAGGAGCAACATTTTCTCTGTGGGGTCTGGGAGTCGCAGCCCATGCTTTTTAAAGACATTACATAAACTTGCATTCATTTCCTGGAGACGGATGCTAATTTTAATCAAAAGATCTACATTCGACGTAATCTTATCCCAAATATACTCATATCTTTACTATAACCCATGTCACTGATGTAATAATGAAGGATTGCGCACATGGGGCTCTGGCAAAAATTAAGATATGTCTGGCCACTGCGTGATGTTTCAAGTCCCCTCCTCCCTGAATCCATTTTTCACAGTTAGAGCAAAAAACATGGCCTGGTCATACTATTATGTGTGTTATACCGGGATACCAGTCAGCTGACATAGAAATAGCAATTAATCAAATGGGAGGTTTCCTTATACTTGAATGTAGTGTAGTTTTACGTAAATATTGCGCAGTCAGCTGTCATAAATGTTGATCTGTCCACACAGAACAGGTCAGTAATGTGAAGTTTGTTACTGTCGTGATTTGCATATAACTAAACCAAACCTCTTTGGTGAAACACAGCTGTTGGTCAGATTCAGTCAAGCCTGACCGTAACCCATTAATACTGATTTCAAGCAACAAGACTCAGACATGTGTTACGTTTCTGGCAGGCTGTGTTTTTATGTCTATGATCGAAATACAAGTTACTATCATTCAAAGCTAACTGGAAAGGCAAGAGTTAGTTTAAGTTAATGCCTCCTAATAACAATGCATTTTCATTTTGAGCAAAAATCTTTATTACATTAATTTAAAGTAATCAAACATCTGGAGTGCAATGTGATAAAACAACGGGTTCAGTAGTTTAGTGCTTTTTATTAGATACAAGGAGACGATACAAAACATCAGTCAAGTTTGAGCCTATACTCAAGATGGCTGGTCCTTCATTTACTCTTCACGCTGCACTTTCAGAACACTACATTTTTATTGAGGAGATCCTGTTTTTTCTTTTTACAAGAACAAGGAATGTGATTTATTACATTGAATGTTGTTTGACTCTAAACTGGAAAAAAGGAAACAAATATTGGAATTTGCAATTCAACAATGTAAATATTAAGGAATCATTTAACCACCCGTTCCCCCGAGAGAATTAGCTTTTAATTTTTGTGCAATCACAAGTGAATTCAGACTATCTAACCTCAACTACACACTAAACTAGAAGTTTGGCAAAAATGTAGTTGGAACAATACTCTTCAGATTTAATGGTTGGAATGAGGCAGAGTCCCTTTGTTTTTTTTTTAAATTTAACATGGGAGAACAAAATTCAATCCTTTAATTTAACTTCTTCATAGGCCTTCAATCAGTTGTATCTCAAGGTTTTTACTTCATCTTATAATATTAATTTTAGTTTTTGACAGTCTTCATTTCTTCATTTACCCTAACCCCACCCACAATGTCCCTCCCCATGAACCCCATAAACAGTGCTGGTTCTGCTTTTGCCCCCCTCCAAACCACTGGAATGAACAGCTAAAGCCAACAGATGTGTCTGAAAGGCCTCAGTTTATAAAGGGCATCCTTCCAAGCTCACTACTGACCCAGCACCAAGTTTCTCAGCCAAGGTGTGTCGGTCTTTCAGGTCTTCCAAGCCATTCACTTGCCACTCATGCTTGATACCTGGAATCACAAATATCACAATGTAATTTGATTTTTAATGTCCATTTGTTCATGCAAAAAATGTAATCAATCAGTTGTGATTAACAGTCAATTAACTGAGTAATAAAAATAATGTCTGCACTCAAACACACTCCAGCCATAAGCGGAGAGTGAAGGTGTTATACTTAAGCATCATGGCCTCAACTTTTATATAGGGCAAATTCAGTAAAAAAAAAAAAAAAGATTCACAGGCCTTACTCCAGTATCAACTGATTAATAAAAAAAATTGTTAAATTAAGAATCAAAAACCACAAGAGTCACAAAATGTCAATCCTTTAGAATAAAGATGGTTCCCAACAATATTATTGTATGTATAGCCTTTGTTTGTCTTGCAAATTATCAAAAATCTGAATTCAGATCAAGTTACCTTCAAACTTCCTCTTAATGGCATCTTTTGAGCTGGCATAAATCATCTTGCTCTTCAAAGGGGCATTGTCTGGTGCCCTGGAAACAACAGATCAAATGTAAATTTAATAAAGCAAACAATAGTCACAAATCTTGTGTGAAGGCCATCTCACCAGAAAATAAAGACCAGATCCTCCTTCTTTGTCTCTTTGGTCTCATAGGTGGCATCATACAAAGCGTAGCGGCAATCTTTCGGGGGAAGCATGCTCACAAAGTGCTGGTAGGGGTCTTGGACTGTGGTGCCCAGGTCACCCTGCAGGATTTCTTTGCCTTTATCCAAGATTATGAACTTGAGGTCGTCGCTGAGACAGAAGAGGATGGCCTTCTTCCTCTTTCTCTTTTCCTCCTCGTTTGCCTGGGCCTTGCGCACCTTCATGTCATTGAAGACAGCAATAACTTCATCTGTAACTTTCACACCAGAGGCCTGCAAAAAATAAAAATTATAAAAATCAGGGAAACTTCACATGACCACAATGAGGAACAGGATGGGTGACATGACAAAAGAAGTAATTTTCCCTTAATATTGATGATCTAATTGAAAACCAATCAAAATTGTTTTCAATATGAAGTCCCCGAAATTTAATGCTACAGACTTTTAATCATTACCAGAAAAAAAAAGTTAATTCTGCTCAACATAATTTTACTGACACAGGATAGGCTGTGGACCTCTTGATTAAAAAGACCCAAGCACATTACTGGCACAGCCCTAGGATTGAACTCCAGTAGCATTTGTGTAGTTCAGGTGATGACAGTAAACATACTTTATTTACTTTGAGACAAGCAACTTGTGACCAGTACATTTTTAGAGACCAAAAAAAAAGTGTGTGAGATGAATGCAATCATTTGCCAGAGTCACAATCCAAAGCCATTTTTAGAGTTTAGTTTGTCAGAAGTAGGTGATATATAAATATAAATATACCCTTTCCTACATATGGATAGGCCTCAGGGACATGTGACGCTAACATGCAAAGGTGGGCTGTGACATGCTCTTAGTTATGGTCAGTGACTAAACATCTTACACAACATTCTCTTATAGCTAAGAATGAGACAAGGAACCGTTTAGTGCCTGTTCAAAGTCCACATGAGAACTGATAGTATAGGTTGGTGCCAATAGGTGTGTCCAAGTACACTGTGACAGGAGGTGGAGAGAGTTACATAAGCTTCCTCTGAGGACAGAAAGCTATGCATCGGACCATAAGGATGACCATGTGGGTGACAGTGCTGTTTGAAATTAAAAGTGTTTGAGAGCAGGCTCGAGTTTCAGACAATGAAGCCTCTGTTGAAATATAGAGTCTCTGCTGCACCGTTAAGTCACTCAGGCAGGTCTTCTGACTTAGTTTAGAGCCATCACAGGAAAAACAACCTCAGGCCAAGACACAAACTGCTGTGTGGCAGCAACAAGCAACAATGAGAAGGAAACCAGGGCAGGGAAATGAACAGACACAGTCTGTGTTTGCTTTGGGCGTAAAGCCATTGTGAAAGATGTCAGCACATTTTTAGAGAAGAGCTAATAATTTACAAGCAACTAACAAACTAACCTACTAAGAAATTCCACAATTACTAATGCAATACCATTTGAAAAATCCATTTAAAATTAAACGCGATTCAACAAGTATTACGTGAACAATTAAAGAACTACTATTTCAAAGTTCACTGACTGACTGATCTCAATAAACATACAATTCCTTTACAGATGTGGAAGCGCTGTGATAAAAGACGACCACAATGTCCTGGAAGAGCACAATTAAACCTAGTTTTAAAGATATATTTGTATTGCTTTAAAGTGGGTTTGAAAACACTTAATGTATTGTTTTTACTTTGAGTCCATTTAAGAACACCCAGCGGATGCCACACAAAGAGGATGCAGAGAGTCAACCATGATCTACACAAGAATGTTAGTCCCGTTAGCTCCCGTTAGCTCAAACAACCACATTTCTAACTACTTACATAAGGAAACGAGGGCGGAATTGTATCGTATACAATAGCATCGGTAAATAATTACGGTACACAAGTGGGTGCTAGATAAAACTAATTTGTTAGTAACGAATTACATTACAAAATGGTCTTTGCACCAAATTCAGGGTGGGGCCATGAATGCAGCATCGGCACATGTGTGCGCTAGCTTCTATATAAGGAAAAACTGGGCTCAAACACACAATTCAACCCTGTTCAAGCGACGACAGCCCCAAACCCCAAATCTCACACCTCATCTACACATTTTAGCGTGAGCGGAACAGTGCGTCGTGGCTGTCTGACAAAGCGGACTCGACAGTGTAATGCTGCGTTAGCTGTGCCTACGTGCAAAGACAAAGAGCAGCACATTCACAGTTAGCATCGGGTTTAGGGCCATTTCAGCCTGTGCTAAAGCGGCTAATGCTAACAATACAGCCCCGGGCCACTGCACCTGCAGCGTAACGCTGTGGAATAACGCGAGCACTGCGTTAGCACAAGCAGCTAAAGTGATGCTGAGGCCCGGCCCTGTGACAGGCAAAAGGATGCCATTTGGACATCCTTCGAAAAACGGGTTGGGGTGAAGTACAAAGAAAGGAAATGGCGCCACTAGGTATTCATTGTATTGCTTAATACGGGCGGGTATCTAAACATTACCTCAATTACTTTTACATTTCCTAAGTGCAGATTGTCACGAAGCGAATGTGCAATGCGGAAAGAAGCACGTATCTCGCTTTTGAGAAATAGGTAGCATTTTACGAGGCCCTATGATGAATCTAATATTTAAATGTGGAAATTCTATATTCAATTCGAAAAATTAACTCAGAACATCTTATACAATTTTAAACCAAAAAGTTAGGATAAAGATAAAAGTGTAAAAGACCTACCATGACTGAGCTGTGAGTTGGTCAGCGGCTGAGTACAAATTGAATGGACAGATGATGAATGTGTCTCGCGCGCTCGATGTACCACATGAACGCGCCCTGATGCGCGCCACCGACTCTACCGCGTGCACAGATACGGCGCGCGTGTAATCACTCCTCCTTTTATTGTCGACTGTTAGTTTGATTGAAACTTCGAACTTTTATTCAATCAAATGACTTTACTTTCTAGGTAAGCGTCTGAATTAGTGAGTAATTGTAATGTTAATGTATGCATTTGATGTCGGAAAGACAATAACGTAGTTATCGTATTTTTTTAGTTTTTCATTTAGTTTTTCACTGGTTTCACGGACAAAATTGGGGAGACATTTCATAAATCATTAAAATGATCGCACTATGTGTAATTTTGCCTATATGAAATAAAAGCCTGCATTAATTTCCCCTAGCATGTATCTATAATGATTACAACCCTATCCTGACTTATCTACTAAATTATTATTGCACCGATTAATACATAAAAGATAGCGGTTGTTCACCGTGACCGACATTTGCACCAGTAAGAAAGAGCGAGCCTGTGTGGAGGGCGGACACCTCCGCCTGTGTAGCCAACCCCCGCTTCCGCGTGCGATTGTGGGCGGGGCCAGCTGAACTCACTTCCAAATAAGGAAGTTAACAGCGAACGGCGGCGGCCAGTGCACGCGCCTAGACGCACATCACCATATAAGGAAACATGAGACGCCAAATTCGCAATAGCAGCCTTCTCTCTGTGGTTTTAGGGGAGAAAGACACATGGGTCAGTGTAGGGATGAGGAGACAAGAGGCTTTATTGAAGTCAGACAACACGATGCGACACCAACTGCTCCGTACATCCTCCGCCCTAACTGGATGCTGGATGGTGCTACACCACTCTGCTGCATAGCCCAAGTGAAGTGCATTTGGAGCACACTGCTGTACAGAGCAAGTGTATCGGCAATGTTTTTGTAGAATTTGTCTGAAAAACGCAGCCTTTTCAATGATGAACACAAAACAAATTCTTTCTTTTGAATGCTCTTATGAATAAACACAAATCACACTCATTTCTACAAATGGAACAGATTTTATTGTCAAAGAGCCCTTAAATCTGAACACATATGTAATAAAGTGCAAGCACAGAGAGACATGGGAACGATCATTCAAAAGTATATTTTATAAAGGCCGAAGCTCTACTTAACAGGATGTAAATGTTTAAAAATCTTTTTAAGCACCACATGGAATTCCAGGATACAGCTTGTCTCTAAATCGGATTTAATCTGACTTAATACTAGGCTACAGTAAAAAATACATCTTCGCATTTATAAATTGAGTAAACAAATGTCTTATTTCTTATAGTGCAGTTGTGTAAGCTTTGGTCAGCAAAAACATTACTGTTTTAAAGGCCTTCTGGTAATTGTAGTGTTCTCAATAAAATAAAAAAGAAAGCACAACTTTGAATCAAAGCCCACAATATACAAAAGAAATACACGTTGATGGAGTAAAAGTGCATCATGTCTTCCTATGAATTACAGCTTACAGCAAAACTGGAATGTTCTAAAGCTATACTGAAAAATATTTGGAAACAATGTTTATGGTGCAGAGAATATCTTGCATAATATGAAGTTAATCTCATCTTTAAATATCAGCATGTGTCTGCGCATTAAGATGAAATGTATTTATGATATTATACAGGGATGCTGCTTTAAATCTGTGCACAAGTTTTGGTCCAGTGGGTGCTATGCTATATAAACATTTTCAAGATTAGTGTGCTGTTGGTACTGCATAAATTGTAACAGAGATGATCTAATTTGATTTTCTCGTTTCCGTGATGCTTGTTCCTCTTGACTTGTTCAACATCTCAGTCGTCTAAAAACAAAACAGAGAAGACAGTTAAGTGCTTCTTGCGACATCTACTGACTTCTGTTTTTGGTCTTATGGTTCAGTCAGCAAATCATTCATCTGACAAAGTTGAGTCACTTTGGTGCTACTTTTTCCATAAATTTAACTGATAGTTTATACAGCCATTTATTTACATTCTCAAGTCATTTCAATGTATTTAATGTAATTTATGACTATTTTTATGTAATTTATGTATATACATTCTTAAATAAATCATTAATCTACTTTTCAATCTTCACTAGTGATCTGCAACATATACGTTCTAGACACTGAATAGTTAATTACTCCAATAGCACCATCTAGTGCCTAAAACTACTACACACACCCACACACACAGTATCATGCAGTTTGCAATGTTACCTGTTCCAGCACAATACCAGCTGCTTGGTCGATGGCTCCTCCAAGAGGGCGGTAGCGGCCTGAGTATCGGATGAAGGCCCACGCCAGCATGGCCATCATGACCACACCAAGAGTGCAGTCACAAATCAGGGCAAAAGTGGTCATCCCAATGAAGAGGAAAATACCAGACAGAATGTAGAGGATGCAGACCAACACAAACAGCACAGCCGGGGTACGGAATGCACTGAACAGATTTTTGGACTTTTATAGCAGAGAGAGAAAAACATGATAAGAAATGGTTAATACAAATAATGTATGTCCATGTTTGAATTCACAGTTAGCTTAATACCTCATTGTGCTTTTGATATGATTGCCACATTTCGTCTAGCTCCTTCTCCAGCTGGCCTTGGTAACGGTCACAAAACTCTTGACCACCCATCTTTTTGGTTGAAGAGAAATTATGTAGTGCTTCTCTGAAAAAAAAGTGATGCTTCTCCTCCAGAGACTCCGGCGACACATAGGGTAGGTCACCGCCACAAACCTTTAAGAACAATTTATTATATAATTCATCAGTCAGTTGATTTGATTAAAAAAGACAAAGATGAACCTTCTCCATGTTCTTGAAATACTGTTCTTTAGATGCTGCAACAGCTGCCAGATTGTTTGCTTCTGCAGTAGCCTATGGTAGAACGTAGACAAGCATTAAAGTACATTTTAATGAATTATACATTTAAGTTTATTCAAATTGAGTACCATCAGCATAGTCTTTGGTTGTGGCAGATCTTCTCCCTGGTAAATCTTGATGTATGCCTGCATATAAATTAAAATTTAAAAAAGAAAAACACAAAACTGACAACTGATAATAAAAAGTAAATGAAGGGAATCACCTTAAAAAACTCAACCAAACCCATGCAGGTTACTTTATTCCCATTTATTTCCTTTTCTGCCAGATTGTCTGGGTGCAGAAGAGTAGGAATAAGATCCATCAGCTGATTTCGGAAATCTGGTGCCACTTCTAAGAAAAAAAAAAGTATTTCAAAATAACAGATTCAACTAGGCAACTGTTGAGAACAATGGAATAATTATAGGAGTTTATTTAAACAAGTCATACCACTGAGTTGTCCTTGGAATGATGGATTTGTGGCAACTTTCAGTCCAGGATGAGGCAATAGAAAGCAAGAGATGTTGGTAAAGCAGGAGTATATGTGTTCTCTCACAGTCTGAAGCTCTTCGTGTTGAGCTTCTTTAACCTTTGGGGAGACAGCACAGCATAAATTTAGTTGATAAGCGATTAAGTACCTGAGGATGGAATTCCCCAACAGCTACTAGATTTTACTTGATCGAAAACAATCACTGGTACCTGTAACCGTTTATCCAGAAAGTCACTGCCTCCTTTAAAGCCGTATGTGTACTCATATGGAAAACTCCAATCTCTGACTAGAAACATCAAAGACTACAAGACAAATAATATTTGTATGAACATAAACATATATTTAAATTCAGTCAATCTGCAATTTTGTGTCACCTGAAATGGCTTCAAAAAGATCTCATCCATAGCAAGACGGCCATACTCTGTAAAAAGCTGGAAGACAAAACAGTAGATTAGTTTAGTTAGTTTAGTTCTATTAATCTACTGCAACAACTTACCGATCTATAAGCACTTCCACACACAGCATGTGCTTTAACTTTATATATATAAATGGTAGGATTTAAAATGATAAAAACACACCTGTAACTGTTGTAGGTCATCCTCTTGTATGTTTTGTGACAGATTGTAGATCTACAGTCACAGTGACTACATCAGCACTGATATCGCTGCAGTACATGTATGATAATTACAGTAACAGGAAGCTTAGTTACCTGTACAGAGCTGGTCATAGTGCTGAGTGCAAAGATGGTGGCACAGTCCTTTACGGTAGACTGATTATCAAAGGCACCCTGAGTATCCATTAGCACTACTGCCAACTACAGAGAAGAATAAAGGTGTGACCTACTGAAGTCTACATGAAATCCAAGGAGAATGGGTAAGCAGCACAGACTTTCTTACCTCTGTGCCATCACTTTTTTGGACAATAAAAACCTCACTCCAGAGCTGGATGCCAGTTGTCTCTGGTTCAGAGCCTCCCCTCCATGAAAATCCAGTTAGAGGCTCATCATCTTCACCCAGCCAGTTTTTGTCACCCTAAAAGAACACAAGACACAACGCAAGTTCAGCTGCATTTAATATCTTTACAATATTTAGAAAGTTACAGAAAATATTCATGGTGCCCAGAAGAAATATATTTTTAAAAGACGAATCAAATCAAGTGGAGAATAAATGTCTTGATTCAAGGGAACTTGTGAGGCAGAGCCGGCACTGGTTTGCATTTTGCACTGACTTCCTGCCTTACAGAACGAAGGTTAATTTCCAAACTGGTTGCTTGGGACCTTTCTGTTTGGGGGATTGGCTTTTTTTTTTTATTTTATTTTTTTTACCAACCTAAAACACACACCAAGAAGCAAATCTTTCAGTTAGGTACTTAAACCTTCCTCAAAATCTGGTGAAGGGTTGGTTGTCATTTACACCTGATTGGCAGAAGGATAGTTTAAAAGAGGCTACATTTCTCTACCTCCCTTATGATAGAAGACGTAGTGATTGGAAGAATTCTTTCAAACCGACACTCAGACACAGTAGTACAGTGTCTGGAGTATGACAGTGATGGATCAGATTACAACAAGGCTCACCTTTCTGTGCATGTAACGAAGCATAAAGTCAAGTAAGAAGCTCTTTCCCTTTCGGAATGCTCCTGCCACAGACACCACCACCACATGTTTGTCTCGGATCTTAGGGGACAACAAAACCTGTGACAAAGCTTCTATATCCAAACTGAAGGAGTGGTCCTCCTTGCACACATTGACAATCTGCACTGGTCTGCCGTTGGACATAATGCAACAACAATGGTCCCTGCAAAAAAAAAAAGTTTCATTTACAATGAAAACTCACACAATTACAACACATGACACCTAGAGTAGAGTTTGTTTTGAAGTCTTTTTAGCTTCTCAAGGAAAAAAGTAAGAGGTCATGCGCTGGAACTTACTGAAAACAAAAGAAACTTGTGTGCAAGACTGGATAAGGGCCCCCTTTTGCAAATCATGCTGCTTGGATGCTTACCATAGGAATTACAAGCCATTTATCTTCAGTGTTTCACTAAATGTGATGAAGATCACTGCTATTATGAGTAAGACAGGGAGGTGTCTATATTCATAACTTATTAATGACTATTTATAATCCAACTTGTCTTTCTTTTGAACCAAGTTCAACACCTCAAGGCGTGGCAAAAAGCAAGAATAACAAATATGTAAAATATTTTACCGCACCTGAAGAAGTAATGCAATTCAGAAGTGCATCTTAAGACCATAAAATATGTTAAGTTAGATGAGAAAATCACACGGAAAACTTCAAACTTGTGTCTAAAAAAGCGCAAAACAACTTTTTAGTGGAATGCTTTTTCAGCTACTAAACTCCGGGTAGATACAACAGTGTAATAATGTTTAAATCGATATATGCCACACTAATGTACGCACAAGTTCGTACAAGACAAGATGGTGAAAACGTTAAACCATCAAAACTATCTATTAACATATTACAAACAGTGGAATTGGGATTTTATAACAAATGTGCAAAATTCAGTAACGTTATAGTTACCTTTAGTGTCTTCTGGTGACCACAACAAAGTCGAAAAACAAGTCAAACGTCAACTTTTGACTGTGTGTAGTTGGCAAGAAAACGATGAGAAGTTTTTTCCACCAAGAAACTATTTCCGTATTTTGCCTGGGTGAGCCTGCGATATGCCTGATGGGAAGTGTAGTTCTTTCAGAACCTCGCTGTAAATGTTGTTAAGTTCTTCTGGGAAATGTAGTTTAAATGTAACATGGCGAATACTCAACTGGAAATGTAAATCATCAGGTCAGACATTTTGCATTTATACAAACGATCAGGCTAGAGCAGTTCACCCCATGAGCTCACCTCCTTCGCTGAACACAGGTGGCAGTATTTACTACATTTATTTTTAGGTAAGCACAACAAACGCAAAAAGAATGCATGTGCTGGATAAAAATATTTTTTATTGCATGCCAACGAACAGTTTCTTTTCAGCAGAAAAAGTAAATTGTAAATGGCAGTGAATTACATTGACACCTCTGGAAATAGAGCAAGTAGCATTAGTCTCTCTCCAAAACAACATAACATAATTCAGATCTATTAAACGTGAAAGCTCATAGCCTAAACAATTCAGACTGGTGACAAAAAGTACCAACAATTTATCCTGGATGAAATGAATTTTCCCCAAATGTGTTGAATCTATTTATTTATGATCTAATTATTGAAATTACTGAAAATAGAAATATAATTATAACATACCTTTTGCATACATGCCTTAATACTTTTAAGTTAAAATTGTGTACTTCATCCCAGTGCTTTTGTATAACTCAAAGCAAAATAGAACTTAAACATGTTTTCATAAAAATAAATAAAAATAAATATAGCCGCAAGCGGCAATGGTCGGCCCTCGCGCGCGCCTATGCCGCGCCCCGCAAACGCCGCGCCCCTCAAAACACTGTGCCCCTCAAAACGCTGCGCCTCACACTGACCCTAATAACCCTTATCTTAAACCTTACCCTAACCATAGCCCTGTAAATATTAATATGACCCTGCAATTTTCAAAATTTTGCAAAAAAACAAACAAAACAAAACAAAAAAAGATGGCAGACTTTTGGTTTGTAAAGGGGCGTGGTCACATTATACATTTTTGTTCCTATTGCCATGATGCATCTGGCTACCAAATTTGGTTTGGCTATGCCAAAATTTGAATTAGATAGAATAGAATAGAATTTTGGCTTGTTGCCATGGCAACACAATGTAAATGGGGTTTGGGCGTCATTGAGCTTTTTAATCAATACCATGTCACAAATGTGGATACCAAATTTTGTGTATCTATGACAAATAAAATGTTATTGTTCTATTCAAATTTTCTAGGGGGTTCTATAGTACCCACTTTTGTATTTTCTTACATCAATCTGTTCAGGGTCGAGGTGTGAACCCACAATTAAGATTTGAATGAAATTGGCCAAAGTTTGTGCCAGAATTAGTCAATTTTACCAATGGAGAGTTTATGTCATCGCTATGGGAACGCCATAAAAAACATGGGTGTCACTGACTTTTGGATCAGGATGCCAAAATGGAATTTTGTGCAAAATTTCAGAAATTTTTGAACAACTATTTGGGAACAAATGATTTTCTTCCATATTAAATTTAGTTTCAATCTATAGAGGGCGCTACTGCACCAATTAATAATTTTCACATTAACTCAACATAAATTGGATAACTTTAGATGTTCCACTTCTCTAGATGATGTACGGTGATTTTCAGCCCTGTGGGTGAAGCGCCTTCAGAGGAGTGCATTAAAAAGCAACGTCAACAAAAATGCGGACTCAAACTTCAATCCAAGATGGCCGCCTTCTGGTTTATCAGGGTGTGTGGCCATAACAATTAATTTTTTTTTGTCTTCACATGAAGAATGTGTGTACCAAATTTCGTGGCTCTACAACAAAGTTGACTGGGACGTCTCCCAATCTGGCATAGGTCGCCCATGGCCTTCCATTGACTTCCATTCATTTTAGCAGTAGTAAATATGGCTCAGGCCTTGGTGTGGGATACTGCTGTTCGTGCCGGGGGCGACCGAGGACAAAGTTGCATGCCATCCTCTCTCATTTGGACATGCGCACGTCACTCTCCATTCGCTCCGCGTAGCGGAAGCAATAGGCCCTAATAATAATAATTCGAGCAAAAACAATATATCCGAAAACATTAGAACAGCATATTATAAGTTTTTTGAAAGCTCTTGATCTTCCCCATGTCACAGTGGGGTCATTGGTGAGTGACGGACACTGACGCGCTCATCATTAACCATCTCGTTGGGGTCGCCAATCACCTTCCATTGACTTCCATTCATTTTAGCAGTAGTAAATATGGCTCAGGCCTTGGTAGTGGGTTACTGGGATACTGCTGTTCGTGCTGGGGGCGACCGAGGACAAAGTTGCATGTCGTCATGTCACGTTCGCCCATGCGCACGTCGCTCCCCATTCGCTCCACTAAGTGGAAGCAATAGGCCCTACGCCCTGTCGGGGCTTAGGCCTAATAATATTCTGATACGAGAACAATGTTCTGCTTTTTTTTGGCCGACAAACTATACATTTTCGGAAACCTCTGGCGCATTGCTATGTGATGGCGAGGGTCCCTGGTCACTACGGGCAAATCACGTCACGCCATTTCACTTTCGGGCCACTTGGAGCATCGCTTTGCGATACTCATAGGCCCTTCGCCAGCCTCTGGCGCTCGGTAAAATAAAATGCATTGTAAGTGCCTGAATACTAATTTTACTATTTATATATTTTCTAAATAACTGCTATGACCAATAATCATATATGCAGATACTGATATTAAGATTTCAAAATCCATAAAAAGGCCAACAAATTAAAATAGCAAAGTTCACAAATTAACTTTTCACTTTCATACAACGTATTTTTTCTGGGATATAAAATAATTTGCTGTATGACTGTAGGATTGTTTTTAGCCTAATTACTTCTATTTCCAACTGAGAACACACATGGGCCACACAGACTGGGGCAACTTAGCCAAATATTGGCTAAATATTCAATATGTGGAAAAATCCTCCAATATCAGAAATACATTATTGGCGCTGATATAACACCGATCCCAGTACTAAAATATAATCTTGAAATACATAAGCCTTGGGGCAGTGTCTGCTTCACCCAGGGAAGCAGTGAATTTGACCAAACTATTTACATTCTTACAGATTCTAATATCCACCACCAGCCAGATCCAACAATGATCCAGCGGCTTCTTGGGCCTCAGCATCGAGCTGCAAAATCTCTACAGTCTCCAGGTCCAGCTGATGGTCACCGGGTAGCACCAGGTACTCCTGAGTGTGATAGTAGTGTAACTCAATGTAGCCACTGTCTGACAATGGGTCTTTCTCCAGCTCTTCACACACCTCCTCCTGTTGATAATCTATGGACTCCATGGTGACCAGTTCCTCATGATCTGGGCTTAAATGGCAAGTCTGGTTTTCAGAAAAGTTGGAGTTTTCTGTACACAAGGTTTGGGGGTTGGATAGGAGAATGCTATCTGAAAGAGAATCTGTAAAGATAAAAAAGGAAATTGCTTAAAACAGTTGCTATGCCAAGTGTGCACATCTATATGTCAGGTGCAAGAATATAAAGAGTACAAAGAAGACAAGCTAAGCATTTGCGCTGTTGTCTAGGTTATAAAAGGTTGCTGCTATGCCAACAGAGCACAAACACATGCACAATGTTGCATACTGGGAAAGCAGCAAAGAGGGAAAAATGTGGCATGTTATTAAAATGTCAAGAAAAGCTGTTACTAATTTATGCAGTACCAAATTGTACAGGCTGTACCGTGACTGACCTGCTATTTCCACAGTGTCACATATAGAAAGACAACCATAATCACCCTCTTCAAACCTGAGGGGGAAAAAAATTGAACTCTTTTAACATTTATAATTTGTTACCAAGCAATATTTGTATAGCAAGGTAACAACAATAAGTGGATTATAATAAAACTTATTACAGTGAATCATACTCACAACTCAGGCTTATTGATCAAGTTACTGTTCGTGCTGTGATAACTATGAGTCTTTCTTAAAACCTCAAGAAGGGCTGGTCGATACTCAGGGCAAACACACCATAGAGAGCCTTTTCCTACAGACTGAAATACAAATGAAGACAAAATATAATAGGTTTATAACAAAATAATTAAACAAAATAAAGTATTTTCTATAATGATTAAATCAAGAGTACAGATAAAATACTCACTTGACTCTTGTCCCTCTGGATGCGGCGAAAGCTTTTACTTAGAGACAGATTGTGACGGACAGAGTTTCTCCATCCCCCGGTGGCAGTTCTATAGTAAGGGAAATTATTCACAATCCATTCATAGATATCCTTTACAGGTAGCTTTTTGCCAGGTGAGTCTTCAATGGCCATGAATATTAGACTGCTAAAAGAATACGGTGGCTTGGATGAGACTTGAGATATGGAGCAACTGGACTCAGATGACTCAATTTGGGGCAGTGGTGTAACTTTGTGAAGAGGCTGAAGAGGTAGCAAATTGCACCGCTGATGCAGCCAACTAAGACAAGTCAGGTCATCTTGGTCAGAAATGTGTGCAGGGCTCACACTTTGTATAGATTGTTCTTCAATAGTTTGAGTTGTGCAATAAGAAAGAGGCAAGGAAGAGTGAGTAGACTCTGCTGTTGCTGGAGAAAGTGTGTTTGGAGAGGGAGGAAAAGAGGTGGGGGACAGTGGTAGTGACAATCGGCTGCTGGTGAAGGTGTGCTGGGGTGAGGAGGAAAAAGGCTCCGTGACCGTGAGTGTGGTGGGATCATTGGGAGAAGAAGTTAACAGTGAATGCGGGGTATGCTCCATCTTACAAGTGAGAATTCCACACTGGTCAAAGTGCACACCTGCAAAAACGAAAAGGTTTCAGGTTTAGTATCTTATAGGGTATGCCTACTGTGTAAGTTGCTCTACGTGCAAAAGCCTACATTAGTGGCCTTAAACAGTTATAAAATATTCACCATTTACCTCTTTTAATAAGTTAAATGTTAGCCAACTCCTTAAAATGCACATCTACTGTCGTTCAAAGTCCAGTTATTTTGTAACGCTACATCAACGCCTGCATAATTTGTTCCAAAAAGCAACTGACTGCAAAACTCCAAAACTTAGAAAAATAGCATAGACAAGATAACAGTTAAAATAACAAATAACCAGAAATACCGCATGGCTTTCAGCAAGCAATGTGCTAATGGCGGAATAATATAAAGTTTCATTGGGCCGCCTAATCTCTTACAGGTAAGAAAATCGATTACGCTCAGAAAGTAAACTTCATCTATACTTACCAACTAACAAAGAAAGTAACACAAACAGATGTCCCAACTTAAATGTCCTTTAAGTTTTCCACTTTGAGTCGCCTTATGGTCTAAATGACTCTGAGTCCGCTCCTTGCGCGGCCTGGGGTTTGTTGCCTTCTGTTGTCTCCATGGAAACGCACAAGACGCGGGAGTGGCGCGTTCACAGGAGCGCGCTCCCGACACAGACATTCGTTCAAAAGTCCTCACATAATCTGTATGAGTCTTCAATATAACATAGTTACACTTTCATGACATGGCACTACTCATATTGGCAGATGCTATTTGCACCCTGGGTGTAAACAGTTAACATTGTTATTTACACATAGGGCAAATAGCCCTATGTGTGTATTAGTATTAGTATTAAGCGTGGCACATAGAAGGGCACCCGGGTGTTCCTAGACAAAAATGCTATTTACACCCAGGTTATTTATTAAACAAAACAAAAATCACTGACAGTACAAACATAAATGCACCAGCCCAGTGAAAATCAGTTATATCTGATGTTTTTTTTACTCAAAATGATGCGGAACTATCGATCAATCAATCGCAGTCGGCGCCTAATGGTTTAGTCCCGGTTAAATCTTGTTTCAATCCTGGTTTAGACTTGGTTTTAGTCTTGATTTTAGTCCTGGTTTAGAACTGGTTTTAGTTCTGGTTTAGTTCTGATTTAGTCCTGGTTTTAGTTCTGGTTTTAGTCCTGGTTTAGTCCTGGTTTTACTTCTGGTTTAGTTCTGATTTAGTCCTGGTTTTAGTCCTGGTTTTAGTTCTGGTTTAGTTCTGGTTTGGTTTAGAGGCGCACGGTAAGAGGCACGGTCCATGCGCTGTACGGGAAAACACGCGGCGCATGGGAGCAGCAAGAGGCGCATACGGTCTATGGGTCCACGCAACGTATGCGAGAAGGGGTAACGCCAAGGTAATGGGCTTCTATTGGTTTACGGGGCCCTACTCAATGTGCGTACTGTATTAGGTGAACCTGTACTGACACTATATCATGCATTGTGACAGCGTGGAGCCATGTGAAAAAATCCACGATAACCAACGGGTTTGGAAAGGCTGGACTGCTGCGTGATGAAGAGGACAGCACACGCGTAAGGGAGAATTTGCCTGGAGCCGACGTAGATTAAATGCCTGTACATGAGTGAAATTACTTTATTGAAATGGTTGAATAAAGAGATGCGCTGGACATGAACTGTTTGTTTCGGCGGGTATTTTATGTAAATTAGCTTTGTGACGTTAGGTTTTCTTTTTGTGTGCAAAGATGCATTAAAAACATAATCTCAAAAGGGCTGATATCGCTCTATAGTAGTTCTGGTGCTTACGAGGGCCAAATGCTTACATTTGAACCACTTTTAATATTACCATTATCTTACTCGAGGCTGTACTTGAACTGAATAGACAGATCAACAAGCATAACCGCTAGCTATACAACGCACAAGCTAAATAAACTGCTCATGATGCGGTGATGCTTTCAACTTAATTACCCAAATCGTAATGGTCGGACAGGCATTGCAAATATATTTTGTAGCAACACCGACTTACTTTTTACCTTACCCTACCTTCGTTTTGAATTTAATTTCTTTGGGTTCTCAAATCCAGCTTCCCGCACTTTTCACAGGAAACGACGTCAGCACACACGTCACCAATCCCTTCTTTCTTGAGATGGGTGTAAATAGAAGAATCGTGTCCATTAAACCATTAACACCCAGGGTGCAAATAGACACTCCGACTCATATTTGTAGAAACAATTCAATGGGGGGGACAGACCTTTACATACATATAAGTCAGTAATTGCACTATGCTTACAAAAATGCTCAATCAACATCCAATCAAAGCTCAAGAGAATGTAGACAAAAACTGTTTAAATTTAACTGCACTTAGTTTTTTAACAGACATTCACAAAAACAATTTAATATTCATACACAAAAATTTCATAACACAGTACAGAAAAAATGTATTATAGTAACACAAGTTTATTTTCTTGATACAAAACATTACCATGCTTGAAAATGTAGCTGACTTTAGGAATAAAGCAACAGATAATCAAAGTATTTGGTTAAGTAAATGGGGGAGGGAGTACAAATCGAATAAAACTTTCCACAAAATGTTTTCTCCCTACTCTAAATTTGGCAGTTGTACTCTATTATGTATTCCATTCAGAAACAAAATGTATATGTACAATTAGACAAATATCACTCACTTCCAACAAATGTAGTTGTACAGACATCTTGGAATTTCATAATTTGGGGGTCTCGCAGTCACCTGACCAAGTGAGAGGTTAACCAGTAAATTATGATTGGCTGAAAAACAGCAGTAGCAACAGTAATATAAAGTCGAAGCTGAGGTTTGGCACCTCCCGTCCCCATAGAGTCTGTGGAAGGAATAATTTTCATCTTCAAAGACCGAACCTATGAAGAAAAAAATTACAATTTTAAACTGAAACCAGAGTAAAAAACTTGGCAAACACAGTTTTTCTCCATGTGTTAAATGTTTTAGAATTAACAATATCTTATGTTCTTAAAAATGCTGCATGATTATCCACTATTTGCTAATTCCTCAACTTACTATAAAAAACATAAGAGCACAGGACGACCATGCCAGGGCCACATAATAACCATCACTGCCAAAGAGTAAACCACACAGCACTGTGAAGATCATCCTGAGAGGTGGGGGAATAAAACAAACAAATTAATTAATCACAATCTTATTATTGGACATCTCCCAAAACTCAAGACAGTTTTAGATATGGTAGATTTATCCATGCAGAAGTCATGTGACAGGTTGAACTGCTAATTTCTCTAAAACACAGTTAACACCAGTGATGTGACGTTCCGTATCGAGGCTTCGAAGCGTGTGTCGAGTACGGAGGGGGCGTTTCCGCGATGCGCGTATCGAGGCTTGCTTCATTTAGGGGAGGAGCTGAAAATGATGACGTCCGAAGCCTCGCTGCCCGGCTGTTACACATGACTGATTCAGGAAATGGTTCGGATTTTGCTGCGATTTCCATTTTCATCATTTACAAATAATCATTTTCCATACTGCCAGTATATAGATACACAGTACACTGCCATCACTACAGTATACATGTTTTGCATACTTCTTTATTTTGCTGACAGTTTTATTCACAGGCTTTCTGCAAAATGTCACACACTTCAAATTCATGTCAACTGATATTTTTGTGTCCAGTAGATGTCCTGTTAGAGCACATGAAGCTTCAAGAAGCTTTGCGCTAGAGTGAACCAATTGGATGAAAGGCTTCAATGCGTCTTGAAGCTTCATTTGCCCATCACTAGTTAACACCATTAGATTTAAGATTTGGCTAAAATTTTGCCTGGTCATTTTAGTTTATTGGCTATCGGCCTTAAATCTCCATCTTAAGTCAATATTTTGTTTTGGCTGACTTGCTGCTCTTTTAGGCTTGAGGTTAAAAAAAATTACTGTGGGTTCATTTTTAGTAAATTACATAATTTGGGGAAAATAGTCAAAATCGTCTCTATATATTGAGCAATTGGTTGCTCTGGATTCTGAACAATTGGTGTCAGCATGAAAACAGCTAAACTGGTCAGTCCCTCACATCTTCCTTGTGTGTAAATTATCCTTGAAATTTGAATGAAACTGATGACAGTTGACATACGTGGAGGACCTCACTAGTACTTCCCTTATTTTACAACTTTTTGTTTTCTACAGTTCTTCACAAATGGCCACTAGACCTGTGTAAATTATGATGAATTTTACCTCAGGAGCTATCCCACCAAAACAAATAATAATTTTATATATATATATATATATATATATTTATTTATTTATATATATTTATATATATATATATAGATAGATATAGATATATAGCAGTTGTACTCTATATATATATAGAGAGAGAGAGAGAGAGAGAGAGAAATCTGTCAAAATAACTTTAAACACTTTTTTTTAGACTTGACTTAGTATACTTACCCAACATATTTGTATCCACTGTATGCCACTAAATCAAATGTTGACAGGTCACTGTGGACTGTAAGTAGATACAAGCTCAACAGCATCACCAACACCTCAATGATGATCCACACAAGGGCAGTGCTGGCACACAAACCAAGAACCTCTGGACTAAACCTACAGGTGAAAAAAGCCCCCAAAAGATCAGTCACTAACCTTCCATACCGTAAGTAAGTATAAATGTGATATAGAACAGTCAAACACCTTTTTTGAATTCCCAAGGCCATTCCAGCAAGTAAAATATATGTGATGAAAGCCATTGCTACAGGACAATGTAAAAGAAGCATTAATTAACATATTTGTGTGTGTTTTCTACTTTTCCTTGTTTTAATTACTTGGTATATAAAGATCAGGTGCATTAACATCCTGCCTTGGAGTCAAAGGGCTGTCACGGTGGTATCGAACTTCCCAGTCCTAAAAAGAAAGAAGTAACAACATTCATTATTAAGAACATCGATGGATCGATACATGCAGTGAACCTTGGTTAGTATATAATCATCATTAGAAATAATTATCAGAAATTATAATGGTTTTATATTCAGCCAATCTCAAATTACCTGATGTGTATAGGGAAACATGAGGATCATAAGCTTCTTTATTACATATTTGGTATCAACAGCAAAGAAGTATTTCAGCTTGTTCACAGACATGAATCTACTTATCTGAAAAGCAAAGAAAATAGTTGCTTAAATATTGGTAAGCCTGAAGCAATATGATGAGTCACAGATTCATTTTGTACAACATGTAAAAATTGGCATGACATTTACTATGAGTCACCAAGGTATGTATCAAATTAACCAGCAGGCATATTAGATTGCAACTGTACATAAAATAATTCAGTCACAGAACAAGCATATTTGATTTTTATAGCAGAACCATGTTGTAGTTAACAACAGAAGGCCAACCTACTGTGTAAGATCACAAAAATAGTACTAAGCTACATAAAACAAATGTTCATACTGCTTTATTAATGTTCTTACCTCTTTGTTTACCATATCCTTTCCTTGGTTAGCTAAAGATGAACCATACATCATTGCAGCATTGGCCACTGGGTCAGTAAAAAGGTTGTTCACGCCAGGACCCCCTTGCATGTCAGTTGATGTACCTCCCATACTGTACCCAGGAGTATAGTAACCTTGACTATTCATTGGGGCAGTGGAGCTTGTGTCATCAAACAATACAGAGTCCGACGAAGGGGGACCCCCACGAGTCCTTTGTTTAGCTATAAATGATAAAACATGGATTTTAGAATTATATTGACATATTATAGATATTCAAAAACTATAGTTTTTTTTTTGTGTGCGTGTGTGTCTCAAATGAAGTGGCTTACTTGATCTGTATCCATGGTGTGGCAAGTCCATCTTGTAGTTTTTCTAGCGTAGCTGAAAGTGACACGTAAACAAATCAAAGTTGTTACAAGGCCCATATGGAATAATTGTTGTGCTACAACCAAAATCACACATACATTTGTAAGGTTTAGCATAATTTTTGAGAACAACGGGAAAAAAAATTGGCCTAAATTTAAGTTAGTCAACATGCTTGGTTAGTGCTAACAACTTTAGCAGGCAGGGCAAGTTTCTATATTAACCTATTTTGTTAAGATTCCTTTGCTTTGTATGCGTAAATACATCTACAAAACTGATACATGCAAAGTCAGCATACAGATTTTGTGTAAAAGTAATAAAATATACGGGCACAAAGACTACACTTACCTGCGCAGCTAGCGCCGCTTGAAGATAGCTTCGTGGCTACTGTGGTTCTGTTCCGCCTCCTCTCTGCAGGGATTGGTCAACTTCTGCCTTCGTACTTTCTGATTGGCTGCCCGCGCTGTGCCTGCGTGGCAAACTAGCTCCATGTACAGTATGTATAGCCTATGCATTAGAACGGGTGGGCAATTATTTTTTTTCCATGGGGGCACATGAGAAAATGAGAAATTGTAGAGGATCGGGCCAAAATGCTTAAGTTAATTCTGTATAATATTAATTGTATTTCTTTATAAAAAGCAGTGAAATAGGATTGTTTTGCCAAGCTGGTAAGACTGGTAAGTATATGTTATGAGGCAATGAAAAACTGATGTTGCCTTATAAAAAAAAAAAAAGTCATTTAAAAAAACACGTCTAAAATAAAAGCAATGCAGCTTTAGTCCAGGCATGAGGTACAATTCTAAAATATGTTTATTTTGTAATTCTGAATTAGCTTAAAGGCGCTGGTCAGAGTCACCCGAAGGGCTGTATGTGGCCTGGGAGCCATACGATGCCTTGGTCTGCATTAGAAGTACAGTACAATAAGATTTAATACTAAAGATAAGTTCTAATTATAGATTCATGGGCCTATGTGTATTGCCACCTGGCTCTGTGCTTCAAAATGAGCTGTTCCCAAACAGGGACATTTACATTGATGTCAAGTGTATTCAACTGCTCAATCCCAATGACTAAAAGAGTAGCCACTTCTACTCTATAACACATAAATACTTAAACACTAAACATTAATACTTCATTTTATGTATAGCTTTACAAGGGCTTAAAAGTATCTAAACTAAAATAAAAAACTAACAAAATGATTAAACTATTACACACAAATGGTTTATTTCAAATAAAATGACAGGGCATTAACATGGCCATGATGTGTTTGAAAGAAGCGTGTCATCACTGCATTCCTGGAGCTTTAGTCAAATGACGCTCACCCTTATCCCATATATCTTCTATTGATATTGTCAAGTACACCACAAAAGAAAACATCCCACATGTGCCATTCTTATTACACAGTGTGTTGTTGTAATCTGAAATATGATAGTAGAAAATGAAACAAGCAGTCGACAGAGGCAAGGCCACTAGCTTTTTCAACTGCTTTTGCTGACAAAGTAGGCGTACAAGTTATTAAACACTTCCTTTGTCCATCTTACTGCTTTTTATTATTGACATATTATACATTAGTGAGGATAACATAAAATGCTTAAAACACATTCACCATATTGCTGTTGGTACAAGAGTCAGCACCAGAGAGAACAACTTTTGCCAGAAACTTTGTCCCAAGGGACTGTAAATCAGCAGCTGCTGAGGACGACTAACACTTTTGGATTCATCATTCACATATCTGCAGGTTTACTACTGGAAGAAAATCATAGAAAGTGTTGGCAAAATAATCTGTGGCAGAGACCTGACTCACTACCATAAGCATGCACACTGATGTGGTGCCGAAACCACTAGAAAATCTGAAACATGCCCCCAACACAGTGGTCTACTACCATACAATTTTGTCAAAATTAGCCTATAGTGACTGTAGGATATAGTCACTTGTGCGTTTGTGCTACTCTTATTATTTAGAGATTTTTAATACTCTACTTTCTTTGTTATGAGGAACTCTTCTCAAAGTATTTTTGAAAACTGGATCCAACTAAGTAATTTCACTATATGGATCAGTGAAATTTGTTTTTAAAATGTAACTAAGCCAGGTGGGCCTATACTTCACTACACATTCTCTAGAAAAGCCTACACTACAGCGTATTTCCATTGAGCAAGGCTGTTCAGTTTCATGTAAAGATTGAGGAATCCCTCGTGCTGTTTTGGGGAGGAAGCATTCGCCAAATATGGTCAATGACGTCACAGCACGTGGTAAAGTTCGTGAGAGATTCCAGACAACACTATTTCCCGTAAAAAGGAGAGGGGCGTGGAAAAGCGGCGGAGCGCTTTAAGGGTTTATAACTTTACAATCATTTCCAGACGACGGCTTTTCAGAGCATTGCTAAAGACAAAAAGATGGTCTAAAAATCATTTTTGGACGTTTTTTGGACATTTTTGAAAAAGGACACTATTGGTTTCTTCCTAGTCCCCCCGCAATAAGAAGCTTTTTAGACTCTACCGCAATAAGGTGGGCTTGCCCGAAGTTTGACACACAAGACTTGACCTGAAAGTAGGCCTAATTACAGCTGACGTGAAACTTATAAATACCACCTGGATATAATTTCCTTTTACTTTAACCAGAAAGGATGTATCGAAACTTTGGGAATCAAGGGAGAGGAGAACCTGTCTACAGCAGCAGCAGCTCTGTATCACTGGGAAGCACATCAAATACACAGGAGCAGGTAGGTGAACCTGTATTTTATTAGACCTAGGCAAAATCAACAAAAGTCTGTTTTCAAATGAATCTTTTTTTTTATATATATATATATATATTTAGGCATGTACTTGGCTATGTGGGCTATGCTCAAAATTACACTGAGAAGGTCAAACTTGTTGATCAACCAATTATGTCATGTTAAGGCATGGCTAACTTTAATCGGAACCTATGATAAAGGCTAATTAAAGCCAGTCTCAACTCTCTTACAGTGTATTTTTCTATGTTTGACAGAAATTCACAATGGCTGGCAGCAGTCAGTTTGTTCCAAGCCTGAATGCTATTACAACCAATGAGAACCTTCAGTGGCTAGTCCAGCCATCCCTGTTGCATTCAGCAGGACCTTCCCGTTCTCCAGTGCCTCCTTACCCATCCCTGTCCGGGGTGCGGCCTCTGGGGCCTGTACCATCACAGTCTCACCATTTGAGGCCAGGCGTCATACGAGCAGCAGCAAACCCCACATCCACAAGGCGTAGGAATGATGAACATGTAAGTCACAGAACTGTTTTGTAGTTTTTTATGTGATATAAATACTGCATTTAAACTAGTGTTTAGTATCTCTCACAATCATTTCAAGTTGAATTTATTATATTAGCAATAATACTTAAGTAATAAATGAAATGTCAAATTTTCATTTCAGTTTAGATTTTTTGTAATAATTATTGCTATAAATAATCAAAAATATTTGTTTTAATTATTTATTTATTGTTTATTTAATTGTTTATTCTGAAGTAAATATTATAACATAATATACTTGCATACACTCTAAGATGCCTTAATATAATCTTAATGCCTTTCATAATCTGTTTAATCAGATATATTGAGACATAACCCTGTCACTTTCTTGAAGTTGTAATTTTATGGCACAGGAAGTAAAGCATCATGTGACTCACTAGGGCGAGTCATTGTCGATGACTCACACCTGAGTCACTGCAGGGGTCCTGGGGTGACTCACCAGAAAATGGCGGGAAATGTTGGATCAGCCATAGTATTTAACAAGTCACTTGTTGAAAATAAACCTCAAAAGAACCAGTGTTTTTGATCACCCAACCATCATGATTGTGATGACTAAAAGGATACACGTGGTGGTAGTATTTCTCCACTAGGGATCAAATTCCATTTGTGCTCTGCCCTGTGGCTTTAGGGAGTGAAACGCAATCCCTTTTCAAATATTGAAATTGTGTATGTTCTTTTCAGCTCTCCCATGAGGAGTTGGAGAGACGCAGAGTAAGAAGAGAAAGGAATAAGCTGGCCGCTGCAAAATGTCGCAACCGTCGTAGAGAACTGACAGACTCACTGCAAAATGTAAGAAAATTGTGTTGAAACTGACAATAGTGTTATTATAATATTAATCATATTCTGTGTATTGTTATTATTTTAGGAGACTGACCAACTGGAAGATGAAAAATCTCGTTTACAAAAGGAAATAGCTGACTTACAAAAGGAAAAAGAAAAACTTGAGCTGGTTCTGGAGGCTCACCGTCCAATTTGTAAAATAGAAGAATCGGATTCCGATTCTGAGCCACACCCATCACTTTCCAGTTTGGAGGGCATCAAGGTGGAGCCAAATGATGACAATAGACCTGGACCTTCCTCAAAGCCAGCAGTCAAGGCAGAGAAACCCAAACCAAAGATAACCATCCCACCCAAACCAATTTCATCTACTGTGGTCTCTGAGTCGGAGTCTCTCCACACTCCAGTCCTGATTTCCACTCCATCTCTCACTCCCATCACATATGGCATGGTTTTCACCTATCCATCAAGTGCATTAGATACCGGTGCAAGCTCTAGCTCCTCCCATGGCACATCACACGCATATCCACCAAGCTCCAGCTGCTCAGTCATGTGGGATTGCTCATCGTCGCAGCAGCAGTAGTGGTGACCAGTCAGACCAGTCACTGCACTCCCCAACTATTCTCACACTTTGATAAAAATAAATAAATAAGCAAACAGAAAGATATATAAAAATATAGCACCATTGACAACACTAATGATCAGTCCTTTTAAAATGTGCTTTCTGAGAACAGATTATCGTAAAAGCATTTCAGTAAGATTCACAGTAACTATTTCAACTCAGAAATGTAATACTGTGCTAGTATTTTTTTAAATATATTTGTTACACTCTAGATTTGTACTATTTTTAAATATGATGCATGAAGTCACTTTTTTTGAAATTTATTACAGAATTTAAGGGATGTAAAGCTGCAGTTAATGACAATGACATGGTTATTGTAGATGTGTTACTGAATAACAGTGTCAATGACTACAACACTCAGTGTGCCTTCTAATGTGTAGGTCTGTGTTTTGTTTTATTACAATTATATGTCCAATTGACTGACCACTAAGGCTGGACCATAGATGACAAATGGATTCTGTAACAATATTTATTTTTCAAAGTGTAATATATTTTTGATAAAGTCTTTTCTGGTAGATGAAATGCTTGTTAGGCAGTGCCTGAACAGTTTCTTCATGACAAATGTCTATTTAGATAAAATAAACATGACAAATTCAAGTTGTTTGGAAAATAATTTTTGAATAATAGATGCACCCAAAAGAAATTAGCAATTAGCAATTACAGTATGGACAGTTTCCTAAAACATTTTCAAGGATGGTGGACATCTCACCAAACTGGTATTAACAACATTGCGTCAGCATCAGAGAGTAAATTTTCAGTGTGCATGTGTGTTCATGAAAACAATGGAATGACTAAGTGCAGCAGCCATTCCTCTAATGTTTTATGTTCTTTTTTTTTTTTTACACAAAAAAGACACAGAAGAAGGTAGAAAGTGTAATTTAGCCACTGTATTAAAGCTCTATGGAACTATCAGAATAATCCAACAACAAAGCAAGTATTTTCTCATTCAAACTATGTGCATCTACTTCAAACAAAATCAATTATTAATTGTAATATATTAAATTTGAACAAACAGAGGTCAATATAATCCTAATATTACAAAGGGAATACAAGCACATGTTACAGAAAAATGTATAAGATTGCAATGTTGTTGTGTGACTGCTATTTTAGCACTCAACAGTAATCTATGAAAAATTCAGATGTGACCAAAACATCATTACCTAACAATAGTAGCTGTGAAAATGTAAACCAACAAGCCTTCGCAGAATTCACTTAAATTTCACATACAAAAAGTGTCTGTCAGAGGCATGATCTGTTTTTAGTTCTTAAAAAAGGTCCATTGGTAAGGTCCAGTTAATCTCAACACACCAAGCACCACCAACAGTAAACCTGAAGTGATTCAGAGTGTTAAACAAGCTGTGATCATCATGCACTCACAACACTCCAATCCTGTCCTGAGGATCTGAGTGCATAAATATTACACATTAACAGGCATCTAAATAAACTTTTAAATCACAACTGATCAATGCCAGTGCTATTGTTTTTTGTTTTTTTTGTTTTCAGTAGAATAAATATGGCTCAAACTGGATTGAAAAGGATCTTTAACATTTACCAGATCCATGCTATCTTCCAGTGCAATAAGGAAACAAGGCTTCCACCAGTGTAGCCTAGCCCAGTGCAGAGACAAATTAATATGTGACCCACTTATTTGGTCCCATTTCATTTCTCTGTTATACCACTGAAAATAAGATCAATAATTTGGAAAAAACACATTAAAAACACGGAAAATTCAACTGCAAAATGTTTTAAGAAAGTCCTGAATATGAAACAGTGGCACTCCAATTGAGCAGCATTCAGAAAGCCCTAATGCCTTTGCACCAAAATGTGTCTGCCATGTCCATCACAGCAAAGTTAACATTACTGTTTAGTTGCCCTGGAGGTAACATAACTTTGCCTTCAGTCATCAGGAGAGCACACTAAGTGGAGCTGATCCGGGCTTCCAACACTGCCTGTGCTGGAGCTGCCATCCCCCAGGTCTCGGGCCACCATGCAAGGCAGGTTCAGCTCAGTGGAGCCTCCAGGACTGGAGTCGCTCCGGCTAACACACTCCTCCTCTAACACCAGACATAGCTCCTTGAGGTCCAAGTTTTCCTTTACCAGGCCATCCTGTAAGCGCTCCAAATCAGCCAGCTTTTTTAAGTAGCCCCCTAGATCCTCTCGCATCACTTTGGCAGCGTGGTGCCCAAATAGCTGCCATTCTCGGGCCAGCTTCTTCACTTTGAGTCTGTCATCGTCCAAGAAACAGCAAAGGTCTCTTAGCTCAACATTTTCCTCCTGTAGGCGTTGATTGATTACTTTTAGTTCCCTGATTTCTAGAAGATGTCCCTGCAGTTGTTTATTCACTTCTTTAATTAGCTTTCCTCGCTGAACCAGTGCTGAAATCTTCTCTGTTTCCTCTTTACGGAGCCGGTTCACCAGCTCTTCTTTGGAGCATGACAGCAAGTCTTCGTCAGATACTTTTGACAGCTCCCTGTTTAATACCTCACCTTCGCTGCTCATTTTGGATTATGAACTCACTTGTCCCTGAGACTCAGTGTATTAACAGAATGGTGCGCAGCCCAAAGCCATCATAGATCCGTAATTTTCTTCATCCCGTGTTTTCCAGTTGCCACAGTTCCTGAAATGATCCCCGCAGGCAAGACCCAGGCAAAAACATGTGATCCTTGTCTGTAGTGGCGAATCAAACCTAATTCGCGCAGCATAAATCCCTGATGAATTTGAGTAGCAGCAAATCCCCATTAATGTCAATCTGCCATCCACGCACAGCGACAGACTCAGTTAAAAGGCCTCCAAGGTTGTCCTTAATTTACATACTGTCACTGTGGTCTATTTTATTGTTTTTTCTGTACAATATGTAAAAGGCCCTTTGGATCTACTGAGGCTTAGTCCAACAGTCCGAGCGAACAGGCTGCAGATGTGTTTTTACGCAAATGACATCGCGCTTGCTTGTGTAGATAACCCACTAGGCTGTTATTCCGCTATTCGACATGCAGTCCGTAAAAACAACAATGAAATCTTTACAAACTGCGTACAGTTTCCAGTTAAAAGACAGTCGGGCGATTCAGTCCTTTACCCGTTTATCACTGCTCCTCCGTAGCAGAGCCAGCACCACAACAATGTCCGCTTCTCCCAATTTCTCGGCTCCAATGTGCCTTGAATCCAGCGAACAGCTTTTGCCACAACACGGAAACGGACAGCTCGTTTTTTTTAAACATTCAACATAAAACCTCTTCTTTGGTATGTAAGTCTGCCATGGTAGGTAACATAAACAATCAAGGTAATCAATATATTTTCCATTTCGTCTTTGAACGAACCCAGTCACAATCTAAAATGAGGTTCAATTACCCTAAACACAAGTATAGATCTAATAGATCCATGGTATAGATACATTTTATTTTGAAACATCTCCGGAATTAACAGAACATGGCGGTGGCGCGTATTCACTTTTTTAGGGCAGGATCACCGTCCGTATAAATAAATTGAAGCGCGGATGCGGAGTTATGACCAAAACGTGATACACATTCGCGAGCCCTAGCATCTCTTCTGACATAATTTAAGGGGGGTAGGGAGGTACATTCAGTTTGGAGCACTCACACTGGCTGTTTTTTAAAATATGCGAGTATGATGACGGGCAGCAGCTTTCCATGCCGTTTTGCTGAGATATTCAGCCACATCCTTCCGCTCCGTGTTCCATCGTTATTGTTTCACTGAGGCTACAACAATGCAGGGTGTTAACTGGGCCAGAGTGAGCCGTGCATGGGTTCACAGTCTGGGTGTCATATGAGGCAACGCCATAAGCCCATCTAACAAAAAGACTGCCATATCTCCACTGTTTAAAAAATTGAAGGACACATGCGCACAGCACTCGGGAGGGTGGGGGAACAGAGGAGTTTAAGCGTTGCTACGGCCGGGGATTTGTTTTCATTGGATTAGTTATTGGAGGAAGAGATCAGATGTGACCAGAGAAAGCGCGCATCACAGTGATTTCACAGATTAGTCAGTCAGAGACCTTGACCGGCAGGGCTTCTTTAAAGATGCACTGTGTAACTTCTGGTGAAGATCCGCCACACGTTTCCATGGAGATGTTAATTCACTACACAGTATGCCATAAAATGTATTTATCTACATGGGGACAAGCGACTCCAGTGAGGCAAAATTGCAGGTCAGATCTGTGGAAAGGCGACCTTGCATTGCTCAGAATCCTTAAGTTCAATAGTGCAGTGCACCTTTAAATACAAAGAACTGCCTTAAATGCTAAATAAATGTCTACTAATATTGACTAATGTTATGGCACTACCCAAATTAGACTAAACAACAATAAGGTAACCATCCGATTTTGTGACAATCGAATCATAGCTGCTTATTTGTAGAGTATGTCTGCCACATGTGGACTCTCCTCAGAAGGAAATATATCACTTCTTATACTTCAGATTTTCAGTTTAGTGCTTCATTCACTTGTTGCCTCAAACTCATGTTACACCAACCCTATCTTATAAATGTATCTATCTATGTGTCTAAAAAAGACTTCACATTGTATAAAAAGAATAAAACATTGGAATAAAATATAATAATCTGCCATGAACGTCCAAAGTCAATGGAAATTTTTATTTTCTGCTTGGTATGATTTTGACTCCGCACCCTTTTTAAAGTCAAACATTTTAACAAGACTAAAATTTCACCTAGACAATATTTCATATTTAAACATGAAATGTGCCACATTTGAATAAAATCCATGAAAATTAAGTTTAATTTTTATCCTGAAATCTTCCAGTTTCCCATGGAATGGTCCCATATGCATTATATGACCAAATGACAGAGAATTCAATCCTCCAGTTTGGAGGTGTGGAACATAATTTCTGTTATAGCAAGTGGACACAGAGCTCATTTTGGGCTTAATTTGGGGAAGTTTTCTATTTACACATGAAACTGTAATTGAATACTGATATGTCAGTCAGGATTTGTCCTTGAGAATGAAATTTTTTGACATTTATTTCTATAAACGGTCTAATAATTTGAAACAAAAATGCATTAACCGATATAAAGGTATATTGTTGTATTCCTCATCATGTCAGTATTCTTTGCTCCAAATTTCACGATTTTGTATGTAACAGACTCATATAATTTCACACAAGGTGGGTCCCACAAAAGAGGTTTGGGGGGCCTGAGACTAAACAGGGCCGAGTTGAAACAGAAGACCCCAAACTCGTAATGTCCCAAGGTGTAGTATAACAAAAAATAATACTAAGGAAATGGAGCAAAATAATAGCAGTGACCCACAAAAAAGTTAAAATAGCTTGGACCAGTTTCTCAAACTATGGTGGTATACAGGGCACCTCTGGTGGTACTTACATGAAGCCTTTTGCTGTTTGTGTGTTGGTTTGAGACAAATCTATTAATGTTTTTGTCCTCCTTTGAGTTAATGATTAGTCTTGTGTCATTTTAGACCTGGTTTAATCCTACTTTAAACCTGATTATATTATTTGATCAACAGTGCCAACAGTTGAGACTGATGCATTATTTTTGTGTCCATTGGCAAAACACATGTCTTGCCAATACTGGTATATGAATTAATGTCAGTGCATTTGTAAGAGTGTGGGGGAAGATGAATGGAAATAAGAGCAATCCGGCATGTTACATGCACGGGTCTTATGTTCATTGACATAAATAAAACAAATCCACACCTCAGTTTTATTTTGTAATGCTTTAGACCTGGTTAAATAAGTATAGCAGCTTATTGCATTCAATTGAATTAAAGACGTTTCTGTTTTAATGAGAAAGGTTTCTGTTTTTATGAGAAAATTTATGACGAACATTATTTTGAACCTGAGCTGTGCATCTCAAACCCAACTCCAGCAAGTGCAGCAGGTCACTTTCCAAGTCAGCTACATCAATCTCGCCAAATCTTATCAGGCCTTAGTGGATAGAATACATACAATGCATTCAACTGGTGACTGAGACATGCCCTTCAGTGTGTCATCTGGTTGTTCGATAAATGTAAAAACTCATAAAAAATAAGATTTATTTTATGTTTTAAAGCAGGACTAACCTCATAAAAAACATAACTTTACCTATAAATACATAACATTTTCTCATAAAACACAGACCTTTTTTCATAAAAACATTTTTTCTCATAAAAAACATAAAACTTTACGTATCCGTAAGTAAAATTCTTAGCTAGATCCATGGCTTAGACCGACTGGTTTATCTAGTGGCCTAGATGTTGATGTAAATCTATTTCTACGACATAATGTCTGCTAAATATTTCAAATTTGAGGATTATGCAACATTTGCATTTAACTAAATATGCATATTGTTCAATAAGAGAAAAAACGTTGCTGCTTGAAAAATAGCTAAAAAAAAAAAAACTAAAAAAAACGTGAACGCTACATTTTCCTGTGACGCAGCAAATCCGGAAGTAGCTGGTCTTGAGTGCCTGCTGCTGTTGTTGACATTGCGCTTAAGCCTTTTCCGACTAATTCGCACTCACTTTGTTATCTGATTTTATCACATTTTAAATCTTTTCGGTCAGTTACACTCTGCCTTATAGTAAACTGAACCCGTAAAAATGTCCCGTAAAACATTCACAAACAGCTAAGAGCTAGCATTTGTCTTTTGGCGAACGCACAATAGCAGCTAATTAAATCATGGACATCACGCTACAGACTAACTAACAAAGTTTGAGATCGTGTCTGCAGCCTGTGGAACTACACGTAAAGGTATTGGTATTGACTCAGTTGTTAGTAGTTAACACATGAGGCTGACAGTAATGTTCTTTTCATGTTGTCTTCAGATGGCAGTGGAGCTGGATGTTTTTGTGGGTAACACAACCATTATGGATGAAGAGGTTTACCAGCTCTGGTTAGATGGTTACACAGGTATTCATATATAGCTAATTGTAACTGAGGACATAGCCTTAACATGATTCTTCTGTTGTATCTCCACGTTATTGTCATTCAGTCATTAAATTGTGCCATTATAGCATTAAATACAATTTCTATATTATTACAACTGTTTTATGTTATGTTTTAACTCCATTTTATGATTACAGTGTTACATGTTAAAATAATTTTGATAATATTTGAAAATTCCTAACATTCCTTTTTTGTCTTGTAGTGAATGATGCTGTGAAGGTGAGAATGGAAGGGGGTGTGCTGGAGGAGTGTGAGGCTAGTGCTGATGTGCTGCTCAGTGACACCATGGATCAGTACAGGACCTTTCAGATGTGTGAGCGTCTACTACACAGTCCAGCCAAACTGGCCAATCAGCTGCTATTTCAGATTCCCCCTCATAGACAGGCGATGCTTATAGAGAGGTACGCAATTTACATTTTTATCTATCTTTGAAGAAACATGTAGAACAAAATGTCATGTCATATCAATTTCATTTACCTCAAGGTACTATACTTTTGATGATGCATTTGTTCGTGAGGTTCTGGGAAAGAAACTTTCCAAAGGAACCAAGAAAGACTTGGATGATATCAGCAGCAAAACTGGTGTGACCTTGAAAAGCTGCAGAAGACAAGTAAGTTAGAAAAAAGTACTACTTACTTTAATGAATAGGATTATTCTCTACCAGATACAAAAATTATTATTTACGTGAATTAAATCAAATACATTTTATTCTGTGCTTAATGATAGTTTGACAACTTCAAGAGGGTTTTCAAAGTGGTGGAGGAACTAAAGGGACCCCTAGTGGAGAATATCCGTCAGCATTTTCTTCTGTCAGACAAACTCGCCAGGTAAGCCAAAAATAAAATATAACCTTGGAAATGGGGTATGTAGAATAATACAATGACAGTGACAATATTTTTTTATAATAGAGATTATGCTGCAATTGTCTTCTTTGCCAACAATCGTTTTGAGACGGGGAAAAGAAAGTTGCAGTATCTAAACTTTCAGGATTTTGCCTTTTGTGCTGGGCAGCTGATCAATAATTGGACAGTGGGTGCTGTTGGTGAGCATTTTCTACTTTCTAGCCAATATGTGGTAACTATACATTTATGTGGGTTTTGCATTACCCACATTCAAAAATTACCACTAGAGGTCCCCGTTTTCCACAGAATTAGAGTATCTTATATTGAAGTAGAAATTAGAAGAAAATGGTTGCATATGAAGTCAATGTGATCAGGAACATTTGTTACAGATAACATGGTGGAAGATATGGATGTTGATCTTGATAAAGAGTTTCTACAAGAGCTTAAAGAGCTAAAAATACTGATAACAGACAAAGACCTTCTGGATCAACACAAAAGGTAACTTAATAAATATTTACACTATAACTAATAGCCCAAATCTAACCTAATTCACTTCCAATTTTATGTTTAGTCTTGTTTGTACAGCTTTAAGGGGGAAGACAAAAGCATTCAATGAGATGGAAGCTAATTTTAAAGTAAAAACTATCCAATTCATATTGTATAATGACATCTTCCCTATTAATACTAACTAGCTTATTTCACTTTGTAGAACCTTTCCCGGGGTCTTGTCAACATTGCTGCAAAGTTGACCAACACGAAAGATGTCAGAGATTTTTTTATTGACCTTGTGGAAAAGGTATGCATTAAATATATAGATATATAAAATTTTTTTTTTTCTTTACAAAAATTCTAGTCCTTATGGTTGATCAGTGTTATTCTCATTTGGTTACGTCTTTAGTTTATTGAGCCTTGCCGTTCAGACCGGTGGACTGCTGCTGACATGAGACTTTTCCTAACTCACTACACTAACTCAGCACATATACTGGATACATTCAAGTAAGTCAGCTTATCAGTTAAAATATGGTGCCTGTCTTTACACTGGTGATATATGTGGGACTGCAGGGCTAAAAATACAGATTATACAAACTACAAAGCAGCACTAATAATTAAAGAAAAATATATTCTTTGGCTGCCTATAATTGCTGGCTGACCCTTAGTTGCTATATATAACTTCTAATATTGGCGCCCCATTTCTGCCAGTGGGTGTCACAGTATTTTGGCCTATTTCTTAAACTGTAGTTACCTTGTTTCTCTTGCAAACACTCAGGAATGTAGTTATGGGTTTACAGAGGCCAGCACCACTTCACACTTGACAAAGACATATTCATGAAAAGAAATGGACCCCACTGTCAGTCACTTGCCAGACAAAGAGGGCCTCACTCAAAGCCATCACACACATTTTACAGTTACGAATGTGCATCATACATTATTGTTGTTATTATTATATCTTTTATTTACCCTGTTTACCATATTTCTACTCCACAGACACCAGAATGTGTGGGACCGTTACATGGGCGTTGTAAAAAGCTGCATCTTCAAGCTGTATCACGACTGAGTTTGATTAGCTTTTCCGTGCATGCTCTGCACTTGGCATGTGGTCATTAGTCTATAGTGCGTCTTTTTCATTTTGCCACTGGTGAATTAATTTTTTTGTGTTAGTTTGTAAATTAAATTGGATTTACACCCATTTGTTTTTCTTTTTAATTTTTAGTAACTAAGGTCACAAAATATATTCATTTTTAGGCCTTTTAGGTTTTATTAAACATGACAGTCCAAAGTAAAATGGAGTAGATGCATCAGCCTAGGCTGGCTGCAATTCTAGTCTGAGCGTATATTTACAGTAGCATGGACATTTTTATTGTCTTAATTTTTAAGAGATAATGTTATTTATGTTATTAAGTATTGAAACTGAACTCACTTTATTACAGTATGTGTAACTATATAACAACTTGTTATTACATGGTAATATAAGGTTAGACGTAAATAAAGGTTAATTGCATAAAGTGTGCAATCAAATTTACTTTTACCAAATTTACAACTGAATGAGTTTAAGAACTTTATATTTGGAGGGAAAATTATTTTTAAATTACATTATGGGTGCGTTAACATATCCAGAGATGTAGACTGGGTTTAGTCCTGTTCTAAAGTTTTCCATGTCTAGTCCAGGTTTATTTCCCAGTTTAGTCCCTGCTTAGTCCAAATTTTGATGTGCTGCATCTACAAGTGTGAATGCACCTTTAACTTCAGTAGTACAAATAGTACTTTTAGTCATGGTGGACAAGAGCCTGGGGGGCACAGTTGGTTGATTTTCACAATGTGATTTTTAACAACAAAACCCTGTAATTGCAGCTGCCACCAACTATCACCCAGAAAGAACACAGATAAACTTTGAGGGTTAAGTAAAGGTTTGCACCCCCCCAGGCAGTGTGCAGTAGTGGGGTAATTACTCTAGTTACCCTTCAGTTAAAAGTAAATATGCATTGCATTTCAAATTATGGCATCATTCAGTGCAAACAAATATATTATTGTAATACCAAAGGTTGAAGTAATATTAGGAATTGTGCAATATCTTAACCTTTTTGAAAACAGACTGTAAAAACAAAGGAAATGATGCAACATGCTGTAGTAGATTAGTCAAACAATGAGGCAGAACTGGTAAATGTTATATATAAACATATATACACACACATTATTAATCTTAGTGCAACGTTTTGAACAGACAAATCTTCAAGCCAAGATTCCAAAGTCTCTAATTCACTGTCTAATTTCTGTCTACATTCCATGAACTTTTTTCTCCCAAAGCTATAAATATCCTGCTTGTCAGATTGAGACCAAGTTGCTTTATGGAAAAAGGGGAAACATTTGGGCAGTATAGATAGATGGGGGGTAAGTGGTAAAAGGAGGGAAAGCTTTGGGGTTTTGCAAGGGTTTAGTTTAAATGAAACCAGGTGTGTTGTGGGACCAGAAGAGGGGGCATTGAGTAAGAGGATGGGGGGTGCATGTGGCAGGGCACTGTGCTTGAATCTGAGAGTTGTTGTTCTGCCTGCGATTCGGACAGATTCGTAATTGTGGTATTTGGGCCGCAGACCAGGAATTTGCATCCTGGGGGGTCAGGCCAAGGGGGTTTGGAGAGTGGAGGATGGCAGTGCAGGGGGCCAGAAGGGGGGTCAGAATGGGCCGTCCCTCTCTCTCCATGTCTGTCTCATTGCTCGTCCTCCCTCCCATTGCATGTGTTCAGCTGCTCCAGCTGTCGTGCTCCACTCACTCTCTCAGGGCCAACAGGCTGAGTTCAGGGAGCACTTCTGGACACTAGCTCAGCCGGTCACTCACAGCCGCAACCAGGAAGGAGAGGTCACAGGAGACTGAAGACACATCTGTGAGTTTATGTTTCTTATTATATTTAGAGTGAAGTAGCCATTCATTCACATGCAAGAAAGCCTGATTATGCCCACGAACTAGAGGTAAGATGCTCCCTGTTCGTGTCACAGCTGCACTAGTGTTTTGGCCTGGAATGTTTGAATGTTGGGATGAGCCATGGCAATGTGGTCTGCAGTCTGCTTTTAGGAGGTATTTCAGGAACTGCAATGAAGTAGACAGGAAGAGAGTCTCTGACTCACAGGACAAACACTTTACATTGCAAAATAAACCTGATTCCTTTTAATACACTCAAAGCCATTCAATTTCATGTATAAAGTTGTATGTCACAGCTATGCTATACTTGCGTGATAAAATATTACCAGCAATGATACAGTATGGTCATTATTTCCAACCAGTGTGACAGGAAAATGTTACAATAGGCAGAGTTTTTGATCTGATGATCCACTGACAAGTCTTGATACAATGAACATGCATGCTGTGCACTTCAGCACCTCTGAGCTGGTTTACACAGGGACAGAGTCAGGGAGGCAGGTTCACTGAGTCCTGCTGCTTATGAACAGCACATCAAAAGTTCACATGACACCATATCTCTTCAGTTTACATAATGTGATGCAGTAGTGATGTGACAAATCATGTCACACAGAGATAAATGAAGGAAACTGGAATAGTTGATATCTAAAACCACAGTATGTGTAACAGGTGTTGGTGTATTCATTCAGAATAATGCCTGATGATTCTAAACTTTAATTCATTCAGTGACATCCTCCACACAAGGTCGTGATGAGAGGTTGGCTCCATTTGCTCTCTTAGAAGAACTATGAGGGGGTTTTCCATAACTTTATACTCTGGGAACCACAGTAGTAACAGGGCATCCCAGCTCAAAAACAGCACCCACAGCCTCACCACGGGGCATTCCAGAAGTCCACCCTCATTTGGTCTGGAGAGGTACCAACCGAACCCCCCCCCCTGACTGAATGCTTGGTTTTGGGTGACATTTTTTTCTGTCTGTAGGGGTCAGGGAGTCCCGAACCAAGGGGTCACATGACTGTCTGGTTTAATGCTGGTATATTTTAATCATTACTGGACATAGTTTATTTCTTTTTGATGGTAGCTCACAAATGGCTGGTTATGTCATCCAGTTAGTATGTTTAGAGTGTCCACGTCACCCTGTGGTCTTTTGTTTGTCCAAACATGCTATAAAACAATAAGCGGTGCCATAACTGTGGTGTGTGGAGTCGCAGTGTCTCTCCATGCACGTAGACAGATGTGATTATAACCTTTACTCCATGAGCTACTCTATGAACTCTTACATTAGGCTGGGTCACTGATCATTTCTGCAAGAAGTGTAAAACTTTGGAGAAATTGAAAAGATAATTTGGGCTTGATTATTTATGTGAATGAAAATTAGCCAAATCTCTTGGTTTGAATTTGGACAAAGGCCACTCTGAAAGAACAGTTAACTTCGTCAAGAGTGGAACAATATGATGGGAAGCTTTCTCAGAAAAGATTCCTCTAAAATAAAGGAATCAAACTCCCAGTTGGATCTATAAACAGTGAGTCAAATCCAGGAGCCATGTTTTCATTGTCAGTTTAAACTCTGGCTTTTATGATCACTGATGAATGGAGTTCAGGTGTTGATTCTAATGTTGCCTTGTTGGTCCTTTCTCTTCTCTCTCTGATAAACAGGTGCCCCCGTGAGGCTGTTGTGTTCTCCACGCGCTGCCTTTCCACTTTACGGCAGCGCAGGCACCGCAGTGTGCATGTTTGTGTTTGTCTATTCTTGTTTGTCACCCATCAGTTAGTGCATTAATATGCAGAGTGTGTGTGTGTCTGTGTTGTGCGTGTGCATATGTATGTCTGTGCTCCTCCGCAGTGCTATTTCACAGCCTCCCACAGAAAGTGACACCTACACGGTAAGGATGGATGACTCTCCTCTAATGTTGTTCCTTCTCTGATTATCCTTTTACCTTGTCATAATAATTTTATGTTTGGAGGTAAATTAGTCCTTGCTTATACCCTCCTCCCCATAATCATCTTGCTCAAATTTCCATGGCCTTTTCCAGTTCTTAGGAGTTATGGCAGGGGGTAATTTTAGTTTTAATTCCATGGTTCTTTCAGTCGTTCATTTAATTTTCCATGCAGGTTGCAGCAGTTTATTTTTCTTTTAAATGATCGTAACTCTTTTTTCCCAAACATTGGCCATAAAATACATCTGTTCACAGTGACATTTTGGCTTAAGAAGGCTAGTTGAAAACGCCACATTCACTTAAGCTTACACAGGCTCTAGTTCACTTTGGCTCAGTGTTGCTTCTCGAACAACAAACCCCTCAGTGAGCTAGTGTTGTTTTTCATGCCGTGCCAACAGGAATTTATTATGTCTTATGAACATATTTTGCAACTCCCTGGCTCAGAGCAACTTTCCACCGTTTCTCACACTCTCTCTGTAGGAATGCACAGATGGGTATCATTGGGACCCTCAGACTGAACATTGCAAAGGTAAAGTGTATAATATATAAATAATAAAGTGTATTTTCTTGTCTTTCTACTGTAAAACATCTTTTATCTGGCAGACATTAATGAGTGTGAGACTATCCCTGATGCCTGCAAAGGAGAGATGAAGTGCTTCAACCACTATGGAGGGTACCTGTGTTTGCCCCGCTCTGCGTCAGTCATCCCTGCTCCAGAGCCTCCCATCACACCCACAGAGACCTTCAACCCCTGTCCTCTGGGCTATGAGCCGCAGGGCGACAGCTGCGTTGGTAGGTGTCAGCGGGTTAGTAGTTACGTCGCCCACAGGGGCCAGGTGGCAATAGGACAAGCCATAATAAGCCTGTTCTTGTGATTTTACTGTGAGGGACATGTGGCTGGAGCAGGTGTTGGGTTGGGGGAAGCCTGATGCCAAGTGTGTAGGTGTGAGTGAATATTCACAGGGGGTAGACACACAGTCAGACAGTAAGAATTTGAAAGATTTCACACAGTGACAGCTGCTGTGTTTTATGTCCATTTGATGGCTTGTCATGTCTGTGATTCTTAAGTGCAAATGGGGACAAGAGCATCTGTCCTCTGCTCAGTCACATCAGGTATCTGTATCTTTGGACAGATATTGATGAATGTGAGAGGGATGAACACGACTGCCAACCCAGCCAACAGTGCATCAACACACTTGGTGCCTTCACCTGCCAGTGTCCTGAAGGTTACCGCAAAGTTGGCACTGAATGCATTGGTGAGTTTATTGGTCTTCTAGATTTAGTAACAGAGAATGTTGTTGTTGGAGTTTAATAAATTGGAGTCTTTCTCCTGCAGACATCGATGAGTGCAGGTACAGATACTGCCAGCACCGCTGTGTTAATGTCCCTGGGTCCTTCTCCTGCCAGTGTGAACCAGGCTTCCAGCTGGCAGGCAACAACCGCTCCTGCATCGGTAAGTGTGACCACATCCCACATCATTATGTGGCTTTACTTTCACACAAACTCCAAGCTAAATTTAACTCCAGAGTTGGCAAAAAGTTGCTGTGAGTGGAAAATGACCAAGCAAATTTTACAGGCTGTTCTTACTTTTACTCTGGGTCTGTTACTGGTTACATCATCTTTAACTGGCTCAGTTTTTATATTGATTAATTTCATAGTACAATGCATCATCATTGGTTTTACTGGAGCATCTTTCTATTTGATCTTTACAGATGTGAATGAGTGTGACATGGGTGCTCCCTGCTCCCAGAGGTGTTACAACACGTATGGCACCTTCCTGTGTCGCTGCGATCAGGGCTACGAGCTGGGACCTGATGGCTTTGTCTGCAATGGTAGGAAAGATGTCTGTCTCTACTACAAAGTATATGTCTCAGTGGAAAATTAGTTGTCTGACTTTAATCTGCAGATATTGACGAGTGCAGTTATTCAAGTTACTTGTGCCAGTACCAGTGTGTTAATGAACCTGGGAAGTTTTCCTGTGAATGTCCAGAAGGATATCAGCTGCTAGGCACTAGGCTTTGCCAAGGTAAGCTCCTGTTTCTCAAATCTTCTTTTCTGCAGCCCAGCCCCATGTTGGACTCTGCTTTTTTAACAGACATAAATGAATGTGAAACTGGTGAGCACCAATGCACGGAGGCACAGACATGTGTGAACATTCATGGACGTTACCAGTGCGTTGACACAAACCGGTGCCAGGACCCTTATGTCCAAGTGTCTGAGAAGTGAGTGACTGACTTCATCACTGGTATAAAATGTGCATCATCTATCTCATATCAGCCTTTGTACAGGTAACTGCACAAATATAGGTTACATCAAGTATTCAAAATACAAGCCCTAATAAAAAGTCCCTCAAAATGATATTTTTAAACATGTTTCAGAGTGGTACAAAAACTATTAGAGCCCACCATAGTTGGTAGGTACTTGGTAGGCTTAGGACAATTAACATACCTCACTGTTAAAAATCTGTTAAAACACTGTTACTGTTCAGTTGTAAAATTACCCCATCTGCTGGTTAATTTATGAAGTGCAGTTTGTTGTAAGGCATCAGTAACACTAATGAATGTGCTACTATTTGTGTTCAGCCGTTGTGTGTGCCCTGTCAACAAACCTGCCTGTCGTGAGTTGCCTTTCTCCATTGTCCACCGCTACATGAGCATCACCTCTGAGCGATCAGTCCCATCGGACATCTTCCAAATCCAGGCTACGAGTGTGTCCTCGGGTGCCTACAACACCTTTCGAATTCGCTCTGGAGATGACAATGGCGATTTCTACATTAGAGTAAGACACAAATAACAGTTATAAAATGATTCAAGGGTCAATAAAAATGCTAAAATACTAGAAAAATTTTAAGTTAAAGCACATATGACAGGATAAACTACCAGTTTCCCTAAAACATAAAATGCAATATGTAACAATGTGTTTAGTTACCCCAAGTTTATTGAAGTTTTTATTTCTACTTCTCTGGTTGGACAAAGGCAACAGATGAAAGTCATTTCAGAACTGTTACCAAGCAACCAAAGTGTACATGAGGGCTTTTCTATTATACATAACCTATTCTCTGCCAAAAATCTACTTTTGCTAAATTAATGTTCAAACCGCTATACATGTATATGTGTTTTTTGCATATGATATTGACTTCTATGGTTGGAATTCTGTTATGTGTTTTAGCACTCAACACTATTTTGCTTATTTTTTCAGCTTTTCAACTTCACAAACTGCTATTTGATTGGTGTACTGGTGTACAACTTTTATTATTCTTATCCCACCAATCAATAATTGAAAAAACAATCACAACTTATATACTAAGGACATGCCTCAGCAGTAAAATCTAGCAACCCAAAGAAAGGAACACATTTCAGATTTCTTTGTTTATTTTGTAAATATACAACATGGCAGTTCATTTTCTACCTTTCATCTGGCATTGGCTTTGTCCATGTGTAGAGTACTCTATGAAATAGAGTATATACTCCAGCTTTCTGTTGCTTGGTGATGTTGATACTCACTGATATCTTTGTTGTTTTGCAGCAAATCAATAACATCAGTGCCATGCTTGTATTGGCTCGAGCTGTCTCTGGGCCCAGAGAGTACACACTGGATCTGGAGATGGTGTCCGTAAATCCACGTCTCAGCTATCAGGGCAGTTACCAAAGTAGCTCCGCCTTGAGACTGTCCATCTACGTTGGCCCATACTCCTTTTAAAGGGAAAGAAATGAATCAGTTGAACCAATCACTGTGATGTTTAAATTGTTGCTTTTTTTTACAAACACAAGTTGAATATATAATACAGTACAATGCACAACACATGTCTAGTATTTCACAGATGCAGCACTAAATAATATTAGCACCAATACATCTATCTAAGAGCTGCGTGGTCAATATATGTATCCGATTGGATCCTGATGCTACTCACATCTGCTGTGGGTGAGAAAAATTGTGCGTGGCATTTTTTCTGCCAGCCTTCAGGTGAAATGATTCATACTGCCGTCACCACAATAGTCTGTTTTCCACCGGTTTACAGCATTATCTTCCACTCTGCCTTGTTTGTCATTTTATAATTCTTGTCAGCCCTGTTTCTTGTTGACACACATGATTCAGTAACCACTCGCATCCGACCTCACGACCTCTACACTCCTTTCCATGTATTCTCTGTCTGCTGTTTGTCCCCTTTTTTTTTACATTGTAATTGTGATGGTTATTGGAATTTAAATAAATACAAATATTTTATTTTAGTCCCATTTCATAAAACACTGATACATCTGATACAACACTGATGGTGTGGTTATTATTGCTAAACTGAATAGGTTTACCGTTGACAGCATAGTGTTAACTGAAGCTGAACATAAACAAGAGCAATTGAGGGGGTAGAGAAGAGAGTGGGGAAAGCCCTTATTCCATAGACCAGTGCCTCATCCCACACAAACTCCCATCTGCTTCCACTGGTGGGGGGTGATGACTCACACATGAAATTGCCTTTACGTTATCAAATACACAGTGATGGACCACCAGGGGGCAGCAGATACTACAGATATTCCGCTAAATAAGCAGTGGTTTTATAACCCAACAATTGCTGCCATTTCCATGAACTTATGAGGGTGAGGTTTGAAAGTTTCAAACCCACTTTTACATAATATACATAGTTATATAGTGTATTCTATTGTCCTGTAACTGCTTGTAAAAGCATGGATGGAGAGCAGTGTAGTGGTAGGCTATATGAGGTGTGTTCATGCCCAAATGGTGACCAAATGGTGTGGAAAAGTTGAGGGTATTCAGGTATGAGTTTCAACTCTTCCTTTGGTGATTACAGAGCAGAGCAACGTGCCTCATCCACACAGTGGGCAGGGAGCAGTGAGGGGGAGTGGGTGTTTACATAGGCACCATGTGCCGGAGCCTGGTAGTGCCCACACAGAGCACGAGGAGGAGAGCGCTGGCAGGAGGTTTGGACTCAAACAACTTCTTTTCCAGCAACTTTGACTGAGCCTGGATGCAATGCTAGTTTAGGGAGGGTACTAAACCACAGTGGGGGACAATGAGGAACACAAACTAGACCAAAAGGCCAGAGTGCACCAAATCATTCAGGTGTTCATCTGCTGATCAATACTGTCCCCAGGTCTCTCTCTTTGAACTGCCCTTATTGCATTACAAAAACCCTCTTTACCTAGCACACCACAATTCAGGTATTGCATTTATGAATAGAGGAGCAAGGTAGAGAGCCATTTCATCCACCCACACCACCAGAGAGCCCAGATTAGTTCATTACGCAAAACAGCGGCCAGTGGAATCTGTGGGACTTCAAAACAGGCTGTACAATACAACAGGAGGCTCAAGGGCTGGTCAGGAAGAGAAATGAGAGTGGGAGGCAGGAAATGGATCTCTTTGCATGTTTTACATACACAATAATAAACAGAGGGTGTAGGTATATACCAAGCAGATCAAAATCATGACAGTTGAAGAAATGGTATCACAACAATTACAATTAAATAAAGATGAACAAACATGTTGAACTAACTTTGACTTTAACTATCACTTTAAATGTGCTACTAATTTTTCGCTCAGTAATAAAATCTATTGCCTTGTAAGCTGTAGAGATAATTAGCTTATTAATTAGACCACTCCGATTACAGGTTAAGCTACATATGTTTATTAGCAGAGGTCAGTGTCATTTTACACACCAACTGGGGTCATATGACATTTGTCTAATTAAATTTGAACTGTTGTAATGTGATGGCAAACAGTTTCTCTTTGAAAAGCTCTGTTAGTTTATATAAGGCTGCACCTATATGCTACCTACTCAACTTCACCTTCAATTTCTTTACATATTGCGTAAATGTGGTTGCCAAGAATCGACAACATGTTGCTAGGGCGGTGTGGGTGTACAGCAGCAATAGGGCCTCACTCTGAAAAGACATCCAAGCCTGAACACATTCAGACTGATGCAGATACTTCAACAATAAACATAAAGCTCACAAGGCTATGTGTTATGGCTGTTGGCTATCAAAATTTTATTTGACTACTTGTCAAATGGTTGCCAAAGGGGAGTGATATACAACTGCTAACAGTGTTGGGAAGGTTACTTTTAAAATGTATTCCCTTACAGATTACAGATTACATACCCCAAAATGTAGTTTGTAACGTAATCCATTAAATTACTTAAAGTGAGTAACGTAATCTGATTACTTTGGATTACTTGATATTGTTATGCTTTTTAAACTACATGAACGTACCAACCACGTCCTGAAAATTCTTGTTCTCTTCAAATTCTCTGTTGAGCCCAAGTCTCCATAAATAAGCAACTGTTTGCTATAGAGAAGCAAAGACCAAGAAATCATAACATAATTGTCTGCTAAAAGAAAATAAAAAACCCAGTCTTTACTTAAGCATATAAAAAATATTATTGATAGAGAAATGATTTCTATATGAGATCACTGCTGCCTTAAATTATGTTCACTCTACTGATAGGTGTCATATTGTTTAGACCTGGTTTAGTCCTGGTTTAGTTCTGGTTTAGTCCTGGTTTTAGACCTGGTTTTAGTCCTGCATTAGTCCTGCTTTAGTCCTGCTTTTAGACCTGGTTTAGTCCATCTTTCAGACCTGGTTTAATACTGGTTTAGTCCTGGTTTTAGACCTGGTTTAGTCCTGGTTTAGTCTTGGTTTAGTCCTGCTTTTAGTCCTGGTTTAGCCCAAAATGTGAAAACCAGAAAATACCGCCATGTAATCCATTTATTTCAACGAAGTAACTGTAATCCAATTACCACTCACTGAAACAGTAACTGTAACTGAATACAATTACTCATAATTTGTATTCTGATTACGTAATCCCGCTACATGTAATCCGTTACTCCCCAACACTGACTGCTAATGTGATTGTTATTATATTATAATTAATTGGTTGAGGAGCAACAGGTAAAACTTGTGATTGTCTCTGTTCTTGTGTATAGTAGTGCAGTCTTTTCTGAGTCTATGATTTTTGTTTTTAGTGAATGAGCAGAGGTATAAAGCTTTCCATTAAGGACTACAGATCCCACAAACTATGAACTGAATGTACGTAACTTAATTTTAGTTACATTAAAAGCAAAAGGACACAGCCTCCATCAAAGCATCATACTTTTACCAATGCTTATTTTTTTGGTATTTTGCTACAACAACCAAAGTACAATCCTCTAAACGTATTTCTACCCAACACTGACAAAACTATAACAGCGTCAGCCATAGCACAAAAACAAACCACTACTGAGCAAACTCAACTCTAAAATGGTTTTACATAAGTGTCATAAGTCAACATGATATCAAGATACTGGTGCTGGGTGCTGAACTGCAATGTTTCATGTGATTTTATTAATAGAAACAATGCCACTCAGTCACAGTTTTTATAGGAAAAATTAACCAATGTGGCACCTGTGGTTGTTTTTTTTTAGCAGCATACAGGTCCTTGTTTGTGTGAATGTATTTTTAGTCGTGCTATAGATAGATGGCTGGTTTCTATGTGGAGCTGACAAGTAATTGACCTTGTCCATTCATGAATGAGCCCTGAATGAATGAATCAGTAAATTGCTCATAACAGCTACAAGGGGGAGTAAGTGGGGGACAAAATGATGTAAAGGTGACATTATTTTGTGGTGGCAGCCATGTGATCATGAAACATAAAAAAAATCTGGTCAAGAGATGTTTATTTTGGGCATCTTTTGCACAAAGACATTAAGGGTAATAGGAAAAGGCTAAGAAAAGAACATGGTGCAGATGTGGATATCTGTTCTTGTCTGTGGGGGGTTATGAAATTGGGGTAAGAATGAATGGGGGAGAGAAGTGAAGAGAGCGAGTCTCAGTGAAAGCTCTGCTGCTAGGAGGTCTCTCATGATGTAACACATCTACATCATGTTGCCATAGCAACCCTGCATCAGCACCAAGGAACTGGAGAGAAAGGGCATATGTTGGATAATAAAAAACATACACAAAAGAAGATATACAGTACATATAAACAAGGGAGCTAAAAATACAGCTGAAGGTTGTTTTTCCCTTCTTATTTTCACATTATCTGTTCTAATATCCTTGAGCAGACAGTTTCATTCAGGATAATAAAGCCAACTCCATCCTCTATAAAAATATCTATTTAGATTCTCTCTTGGCTGTGATGCTGGACCTTGAGCAGACAAAGAGCACTAACGTAACTATGAGCGCCCGTGAAAACTTGTGTCTCCTGTTTTCTCCCTGGAAGCTAAAAATAAGCATAATACTGAGAGCAGCAGATAGGTACAAGGTTGTAACTCACAAAAACAGAATGAAGCAAAAAGTGGACATATGTTGGAAATATATACGAGAATTACAATGTAGCAAGAATTGGCAGCATATCTGGATACAATCTCCGCACATTTTTAGAAGAGACGATTGTGTGAAAGACATCAGCAGTTACATCTGTCACTAAGGGCTGCAACGGCTTCACAAGAAGCCTCAGGGTGAGAGAGGAGTGAATAAATAAGGGGCAAGTATAATTTTAATAATTATATTTTGAGGGGCCTGTGAAAAGTTGTTACAAATCAAATATACCATTCATGTCTTTCAGTTATGAGGTCTTGATTGAGTATACAATGCATGATACTGTTATTTGTATGACTGACTCCTCAGTGACCACTTGCAAAGGAACTATTTGATTCAGTTGTTAGTTCACATTGCTTTGGTTCATATGCAGTCAGAAAATAATATGCCAAAATATTGCGGATGTGTTTTTTGATGCCAGTCAGTCAACAATCCGCCATACCACTTTTAAATCACATGTGTGTTATCCCCTAAAAATCCCCAGATTTTTACCCAGTTTTTCACTCAGCTATCCTTTTTACTCCACATCCTCTCACTGCCGCTTGGATGCAGGAGTGGGAGGTGTTGCTAGGCGACAGATTAGCTCCATCCTTTCAAGAAACGGAGCACAGACCTTGACGCTCTGGGTGTAAAAATAAACAGTAAAAGAAAGGCGGCCTTATGGGGAAGAGGACAAGCACATCACCTCTGGCATGTGAAACTTGCTTTTTGTTTACTAAGCATCCACATATTTGAGCAGAACCCAACTTCAGTCAGTGAAGATATTTGCTGTGCACAAACTTTGCAAACTCACAGAAATGTTGCCATGATCTGTCCACTCTGTTCCCTGTGATGTGATGACTAAGGTTGTGGAGGGACATGCTGCTTGTCCCTCATCCGCACGTTCGCTCTCTGCCAAAGAAGTCGAAGCTGTGAAA